CATCGCCACAGTGTGAATGGGTAAGAAGTGAATACACAGTTCAATGAGCCAAATTAATTTATTTTCGCCACTAGACGCTCGAGGACATATACGAGCCGGTCCAGCCGCTCGTTGATCCCCGCGATCCACCTGATGATTTCTTCCTGCGATTGCAGGACCGCCTCCGTGAGGACCCTTCCACTGCGTCCGGGTGGTCCAGCGGAAGCGCCGCGGCTGGTGGACGCTCCACCGCTTGTCGGCGCGCTGGTGCTGGTGCTGGTGCTGGTGCTGGGGCCGGGGGCCGGGGTGGCCCGTATGCCGCTGGTCCTGGCTGACGACTCCGAGCCGGCGGACAGGCTGCCGCGGGCCGGGGTTCCGCAAGCCGGCGACACGGCCGACACATTGATTTTCTGTGACACAATAAAAATATTGGTTCATTTCAATTCCTGCTTCTGTGTATCTGTTGCATTTACATCTCTCTCCACGGTATCATAGGTAATGTAATCCAGTATTTAGAGGTCAGTTATGCACATTACAGTTGTTTATTGCATAAAAAGTTATCGAAAAATGAAGTTAAGGGCGAAGTATAAATCATGTCTAAAAATAGACTGAATCCCGACGTTGAAATGAAGTATAAACTTAGACTAGACGTCTAATATACGTCTTTTGCTCAGTGGGATGGCAAAGCATGTGGACATTTGTGTGACACGCCACTTACCCTATAATAATAATCGCCACCACCCGCTGCTCAAACGGCGTGAGGGTCTCCTCCCCCGGAACCACACCTGTCTGGCCGGTACTCCTCCGGAGGGCAGCTGAACGCCGCTTGACCTCCACCCTGAGGTCCGACCACTTTTTTTTAATCTCCGCGGGGGTGCGTGTCTCGGAACCCACCGCGTTCACCCTCTCGCAAACTTTCTCCCACTCCAAGCGTTTTCGTTTTGCACTGACGCCACTGGACAGGCTGCCAAACAAAACACGCTGTCGCTCCTCCACCTCCGCCACCAGCACCTCCACCTCGCACGCCGTAAATTTAGTTTTTCTTGTCATTTTGTCTGCGTGCGAGGACAGGGAGACCCTATTTAAATAAATCTGCATATTTATAGGAGGGCGTAACGGGGACGGGCCCGGTCACTCCGAAATCTGCGCTCATTTCCAAGCTGATTGGGATTTATCAAGGAAACACGCCCGCACACATTGATACATACGGATTTTTTTCAGCGTGACGGACCTTGCGTGCGCTCGTTTCTGGTATGAGTCCCACGCAAGTGTTGATACATGAGGCCCCAGGTCTGTTGCCCCAGTAACTTACGCAGAACCCTAAACCTGCTCCGGAGCAGGTTATATTTCAGGATAAGATCTCAGTGGGTATAAAAGACCACCTACTGACCAATCACATTTCTTGGAAAAAGTCTTTCCCACTTTTACCGGATCCCGTGGACATCAGTGCACAGACAGTGAGAGGAGCACTTTTCATGATTGTTGAAATCCCATTTGATTTCCCTGATGACATTCTCTATGAACATTACAGGTTTTCCTCAAATGGCCTCAATATTCAGGTAGCATGAAGTCTAAGCAATGCACTAATATTTAATAAGCTCCAAGTTCCAGTTTCATGCAACATATCAGTCATCATTTAGAATTTATTGAAGCAGATTAGAAAACTCCTCTTAATCCCAAAAGTTTCTGCAGATGACATGTAACCATCAGATGATTGAGAAAAAGAAGAAAGCTCCTCATCAAAGCAGTGTGAGGAAATCACTGTTTACATGTTGAAATATGTACAAATAAAATCTTTCACTAAACCTACTAACCACTTTCAAGGATGTTTTTAGATTTATATATTTGCTCCCACGTACTCTTTTCCCCACTGCTGTTGCATCTGAATGATAATGAGGTCAATAATGATGGTGATCACACACACTGCATGACAACATAACAGGGGACCATAAATTTATGAACGCACAAATGTGACTGACACAATCGGCGATTTTTTGCCAGTAGTCCTTTCAGCTTCTAGCGGCTGCAGCAGTCTTGCTCCACACCGCTATAATGTCACGGTACTCCTCGTATTTGCATAAATGATGCTGTCTTCCTCAACTGTGAGATATGACATGCAGCCTTCAGTGCCACTGGAGATTGGTCTGGTGGCACTGACCCTGCCCCCTTTCAGTGTGCGCACACGGATATAAACTGGCCACAACTAGATACAGTTATTGAGTTGATATCCTGCCTCGTAGTACAGGATTATGGCAATCTGGTGAAGTTGAGCGAGTTGCGGCAGTGTTATTCTGGGTGTGTTAATCCAGCTTCATAGTACAGGCCTCTAGTCTTTCACTTTTTGTCATGTAATCTCTTTGTTACAGTATCCTCTGTTTCTCTCTCGCTCGACTTTTGCTCTCATCAACAGTTTTGTAGTGATGCTGCCATCTGTCTCATTTGCGCTCCCTGAGTTTTTGTTTGCGATTCTGTCCCAAACTGATTTGCATCAAATTAATCAAACAAAGCTACTTCAAAATCAAACAAAAAGAATGAAACTCTCTGAAGAAAAAAAATGTCTGAAAAGTAAAACTTATATCTTGCAAACAAATTATTTTTACAATTGTGTCAACTATTGGTCTTTAACTGTTTTTCAATATTTTGTTTTAATTACAGTTCCCTCTGTTTCTTTTTCGCTGACCAGATTTTTGCTCTCACTGCCTGTTTATTGCCCATCATCATTCAAATGATGTGCTTGAACAGAGAGGTTGCTGCAAGTCTGGTTTCTCCGTATTATCTGTAATTTTTGTAATTTTTGCTAGATTTTTTTTCATATTTTTGATGTCATTTTGTTGGCTGCTGATGGATACTTCTGCTGGGTGAAGAGTAAACTCAAGAGAAGAGCTCCTTTCACTGAGCAAATCTAGACAACAACATACAATTCCAGAGGACATCAGGAGGTGTTATCGTGGTTGCAGTGCTGGTGCAAAGCTGAATGCTAGGAGGTGGCGATATAAACCTTTTCTTCCATCAGTCATCAGGGGAAACGTCAACTCTCTGCCCAACAAAAGTGATGAGCTGGAGATATTGGTGAAGACTGAGAAAGAATACCGTGAGTGCAGTCTCCTGTGTTTTACTGAAACCTGGTTGAATCAAAACAACTCCCACTCCACTGTGGATACCTGGCATCACTCTCATAAGGTCAGACAGAGATACTCAAGCCAGTGGCAAGAAGAAAGAAGGAGGCCTGGCTTTATTTGTCAACCAGAGATTATGTAGCCCTTCACACATAACTGTCAAGGAGAAGTTGTGTTGTCCAGTGCAGTTGCTCTTTGGCCATGTTATGTTCCAAGAGAATTCAGTCATATCATAACAATAGTTGTTTACATCCTACCAAAATCAACTGAAGAAATTCCCCGCAATGTTTTGCAAAACAGTGTTGCCAGGCTACAGACTCAACACCCTGAGGCACTAATAATTATATCAGGAGACTTCAACCATGTCACTCTCTCCTCTCACCTGACTGGAGTCACACAGTTTGTGAACTGTCCTGCCAGAGAAAACAAAACCCTGGATCTGCTGTATGCCAATGTCAAAGAAGCCTACAGAGCCACTGCCTTACCACCACTGGGCAAGTCAGATCATAACTTGGTCTATCTGCAAACCTGTTACAGACCTTGGGCTCTATTTTTGTGTACACCAGTGAGGCGACGGAGGGTGGCGGACCCCGCGCAGTTGTATTTTCGTCTGTCAGAGCCCAGCGTACAGCCAGTGTGGTATTTTCGTGGACTGAGGCGCACCGAGATCCGCCAAGCTGGGTGTGGTGGCGTGGCAGGGGGAGGTGTCGACAGAATCAGCGGACGCAGTGACATTTTCATGCTCGCCACCGGCGTATAAAGTGCGCTGAAAGCTTGCCGATTCAAACCTGGTCAGCTTTCAGCACAGGCGAAACGCAGCTGGTCTAGTGGTATTTTGGTAGACCGGCGGTGTATCGGCATACGTCACCGATGCCTCACTGGCAGGTTTCCACTAGCTGGGCCAACCTGTTGCGTGAATCACTTGATGTTCCTTCCCACCACAGTCTGGACTTCGGCCCATAGAGAGCGTGTATTCCCGATCAGAAAATAATCGGGCCAATCAGAGACCGTGTTTCTCGTTTATATCCGCAGAAGACGTCAGATATAAACGATTTCTGCCGACTTTGCAGAGTCAACTGCAGAATTAACGGCGTTCTGAATGAACGGGGCTTTGAAAAGTCCCGCAGCATGTGTTAGACGTCACAACTACACATGGACCAATCAGGGGCTGCCTTTCCCTGTTGTCCGGGTAACAATGGAAACAAGGTCTCTGATTGGCCCGGTTATTTTCTGATCGGGAATAAACGCTCTCTATGGGCCAAAGTCCAGACTGTGGTGGGAAGGAACATCAAGTGATTCACGCAACAGGTTGGCCCAGCCAGGCTAGGTTTCCACAGTGTCAGGCACATTTCAGTGCAATAAATATTCATCAACAACTAATAATCTGACTCAGCACATACATTTAGATCTATATCGATATATATTGATCTATATCTGATCTGATGAGCGCGTTTGGCACGCATTTGGACACACAACCTGACCGAATCAACACAGCTGAAACCGCATTGAATTAAATTAAATATCTAGTAAATAGACACACATGATTAAGTTAACAAGATATGTAATTCGTCTCCCTCCATTTCTTTCTTCCTATTCCTCTTATTTCTCGCGCAGCCGGACCTGGACATGTCTCCGTGTCCTCTCCCCGCCCTAATGCAGCTGCTAATGTTGCAGCTGAACAGATGATTTGTTTCAGTGATCAGATGAGTTAAAGATCACTACGGTAAAGAGCCAGACCATGGAGCGGGATGCATCATTACGCACAGATGGTTCCGATTTTAATGCCATTTTTGGAGTTTATGTTGTGATCTGTGCGCACAACCCACCTTTGTCATGTGAGGTTTGAATATGTGCAACTTTATGTGAGTGTCTCTATTTGTGGAAAGGGATGTTTGTCTTACTAGTGGGTCCAACATTACACACACCAAATCCATCTGTGCTCATATGAGAGAGTGTGAAGGACGCCCTCTGCAGCAACACTTGTTGAGAAGCTGCCTTCTGTCGCCATCGTGTGGCATTACTGTCTTCAGACATTTCTTAATCTCTTCGACTACTTCACAAAAATAGTAATATGCCTCACCGATGGCGGATTTAAAGGCGAGGAGAGGAGCTGATGTTATTGGTCAATACAGGTCTCGGCTGTGTTAAAAACACTCCACGCCCTCTCTCCTCCCTCGCTACGATTTACGCCGCTGGGAGGAGCTGAGTTAGGGAGAGGGGATACTTACGCCGGGCTGCGCCGCTCACCAAAATACTAAATTGTGCTTGGTAACGCCTTGTTGGGGCGGCGGACCTGACTTACGCTGCTCCTGTGGCACGTCTCCGGCGAGGCACGAAAATAGAGCACCTTGTGTGCTGAGGCAGCCTGTGACCAAAGTCAAAATAAGCAGATGGATACCTCAAGCCTTCAATACCTTAAATCAACAGACTGGAATGTGCTGCTGGAAACAGATGTGGATAATATGAACACTGACAAACAGGTTGACTGCTTCACTGAATATGTACATTTCTGTGGAGACACAGTTATACCCACAAAGACTGTTTTCTGTTTCCACAACAACAAACCCTGGATCACAAGTGACACAAGAGCAATCCTTAACCAGAAAAAGAAAGCTTTTAAAGATGGTGACAAAGAACTACTCAAATGGGTGCAACAAGAGTTGAAGAGGAGACTGAAGATGGCAAAGCTGGAGTACAAAAAGAAGATAGAGAAGAATCTACAACACAGCAACATCTGTGAAGTGTGGAGAGGAATCAGTACCATCTCTGGACACAGCAGTAAAAAGAAAAGACAGCCAGTGGTGAGTGATCTGGAAAAAGCTGATGAACTCAACCTGTTCTTCAACAGATTTGGAACTGCAGTCACACTCACTTCCACTGCTACTCCACCTTCCTCTCCGCATCAAATCTCCACTACAACTTATCCCGTTACTCCTCCATCTCATTCAAATGTCTCAACCACTTCAACTGCCTCCCTTCTAGAACACCAGTCCTTGTCTGTCATCGAAACAGGGGTGAGGATGGAGCTTGGAAGACTTTGTCCTGGGAAGGCAGCTGGTCCAGATGGTGTGTGTCCAAGGCTGACTGTGCTGCAGAACTGTGTCAACCTCTCCACAGGATCTTCAACATGAGTCTACAGCTGGGTTGGGTACCTACTTTGTGGAAAACATCTGCATTGTGCCAGTAACAAAAACAAAATGTCCTGCTGAACTCAGTAGTTGGGTTTCCATTACCCATAGATTTGCGCAAAACCTAAATATCGCAATAGAAAGCTGGTAATGGAAACACCTAAATTTCGAAAAACCTCTCAAATATCGCTAAAAAGTTTTTACGCTCTCATGAAGTGGTTTTTCAGACGTGTCAATATAGAAGTATATCGCAAAAGTGTAATGGAAACACTATTCACTCAATTGTATGTCACCGGATGTGACATAGCGGGTCATGTGACCAGTTCATTTCAGGCAAAGATGGCGCGGTATGTGTGGACGGGGGAGGAGACGGAGTTATTTCTACAAATAATAAAAGAGAAAAATATAACCGCCATCCTTGACAGCAAACAACAGCGAAATGCAGAGTTGTACAAGGAGCTAGAAGGGGAAATGAGGGAGAAGCTCCCATATATATGGGCTTTGCCTTTGAATTATCAGCTGCTGCCTTCGTCTTCTGATGACAGCAGCGGCAAGAGCAGTAATGGTCACAGAAATAGCTGCTCCAAAATGTTTTGTATCTCCTCCATGTTGGTGTGCAAAAAGGCTTAAGGAATACGAGGTTGCACAGGCAGGAAGTTTACCTCGTTGTTAACCTCGTTGTTTACCTTGTGGCAATGGCCATTCAAACACGGCTCGTGAGAGGCAGATGGCTCGCTTATGCACTGAACACCATTCAATGGAAACACCCCCAAATCGCAATGGTACTTTGTCGAAATTTGATAAACATCGCTTTTATTTTGCGAAAAAATGTAATGGAAACGCAGCTAGTGACTACAGACCAGTGGCCCTCACTTCACACATTATGAAAAACTGGATTCCCTGCAGTTTGCATTCATGCATTTGCAAAGAACACATCGGAGTGGATGATGCTGTCCTCTACATGCTTCACCGTGCCCTGTCTCATCTGGAGGAACCTGGGGTTTATGTGAGATCATGATTTTCGACTTTTCAAGTGCATTCACCACTCACTCACCAACAAGGGACACATCATCCACGATCTCCTCACTGACTGCAAGCTGGACTTCCTCTGCATCACTGAAACATGGCAACAACCAAATGACTTCTCATCACTCAACGACTCCACCCCCCCCAACTTCACCTACCTCTCCCACCCCGCAGTCACGGCTCATTCTCCTCATTCGAACTCCTGGCACTTACACTCCCTGGACCCACTCTAACCGTTATCGCCACCATCTACCCCCCCCCCCCCCCCCCCAAGCCCCTCACCGACTTCCTAAATGACTTCTCTGTTCTACTCACCCATCTATGCACACTCTCACCAAACACAATAATACTGGGGGACTTCAATATCCACATTGACAACACCAACCTGCCCCTCACCAGAGACTTCTCATCATGCCTGGACAGTTTTGGACTCCATCAATTCATCAACTTCCCGACACACACTAAAGGACACACTCTGGATCTACTCTGCTGCTCTGGCCTCATCCCATCCAACTGCACAGCCGATGATCTCCATGTAAGTGACCACCTCCTCATCTCCTTCAGTATTCCTCTCTGCCTCTCTAGAATTAACTCACCACGCCTCATTTCATTCCGCAATCTTAAGAACATAAACATTGACACTCTGCGCTCTAACATCAACAATATTTTGATCCTGGACTGTTCCGCTACCCCTGATGAAATAACATCCCATTACAACACCTGTTTAAATAGCATCCTCAACTCCCTCGCTCCAGTCAAAACACGCTCTGTTTCCTTCTCCACAACTGCTCCCTGGTACACCCCCCATCTCCGCTCCATTAAAACCAAAGGCCGCCAACTGGAAAGACTCTACAAGACAAATGGACTCTCCATTCACAAAGAAATGTACACTAACCACATCCGCCGCTACAAGGACTCAATTTCTCAAGCCAAGACAGACCACTACTCCGCCCAGATCATATTCAACAAAGGAAACACCAGATCACTATTCACTCTCCTCAACAAGTCTCTCCAGCCACCGGACCCCCACCCCCCCACCTGTATTCAACCGACACCCGCAACACCCTAATGCAGTTTTTAATGACAAAATGTCCAACATCCACCAACAACTGCACTCAGGCTCTCTTCCCCCTGGACCACCTCTGACCCCACCAACTCCCCTGCCACACCGGCAGTACTTCTCCAGTTTTCTTCTCCCCGTTGACTCTGAAATCTACGATCTCATCCGGAAATCCAAACCCTCAACCTGTCAGCTGGATCCTCTTCCCACCACACTGGTCAAATCATGCCTCCCGTCTGTGCTTCCTCTCATATCTGCCATCATTCACTCCTCACTCACCACTGGAACTGTTCCCGCATCCCTCAAGACAGCAGCCATCACCCCTCTACTGAAAAAACCTGGCTCTGACCCCAATAACTTCAATGACCTCCGCTCCATCTCCAATCGACTGTTCACAGCCAAAATACTGGAAAAGGTCGTCGCTGGCCAACTACACTCCCACCTAACCCAGAACTCCCTCTACGACCCCTTCCAATCTGGTTTCCGCCCCTGCCACAGCACCGAAACTGCACTGCTAAAAATCACCAACGACCTTCTCACTGCAGCTGACTAAGGTTCACTTTCCATCCTCATCCTCCTCGACCTCAGTGCAGCCTTTGACACCATCTCCCATCCCATCCTCCTCCGTAGACTCTCCTCCATCGGCATCTCCCACACCCCTCTCCGCAGGTTCCACTCTTACCTCTCAGACCGCACACAGTTCATCCAGCTCAAATCCTTCAAGTCCGACCCCTCCCCAGTCAGTTCAGGTGTGCCCCAGGGCTCTGTCCTGGGGCCCCTGCTGTTTATCACCTACTTCTTCCCCCTTGGTTCCATCTTCCATAAATTCAACATTCAATATCGCTGCTACGCAGTGACACCCAGCTCTACCTCTCCAGCTCACCAAACTCCACCCTCCCACCTACCTCCCTCATCACCTGCCTACCCGAAATTAAATCCTGGTTCACCGCCAACTTTCTCCAACTAAACAGTCAGAATACAGAAATTCTTCTAGTAGGTTCCAAATTCACCTTTTTCCAAAGTTTACAGTCTCTCCCTTCCCATCGACAGTTCCTCAGTTTCCCCCTCCCCTCAGGTCAAGAGTCTGGGTGTCGTCCTTGACAGTACTCTTTCCTTCAAATCCCACATCGGCCTTACCACTTGGACTGCCTACTTCCATCTCCGCCACATCAATCGGCTCCGTCCCTCCCTCTCCCCCAACACCGCCTTCATCCCCGTCCACAGTCTCGTCACCTCCCGTCTGGACTACTGCAACTCCCTCCTCTTCCGTCTCCCTCACACGTCTCTCCATAAACTTCAACTGGTCCACAACTCCGCTGCCCAGATCATCACCAAAACCCCTTTGTCCCACCACATCACCCCCATACTGCAGCAGCTCCACTGGCTCCCGGTCCCACTTAGAATCCAGTTCAAATCTCTGCTCAGTGACCCAGACTTTGACAGTTACATCAAAAGAGAGTGGGCGTCCTTCTTGGAAATAAATGATTCCCCAAAGTCATCACATACACTTCTCTGGGAAACAAGCAAGGCAATAAAACAATTAGAAACGTTGAATGCAAATAATCCAACAGAAGACACTCAAAAGGAATTAAGAAAACACCAATTACAACTAAACGACATTTTAAACAAAAGAGCAAAATTTTTAATCCATAGGTTAAGACAAGAAAACTATCATCACAACAACAAATCTGGTAAATACTTGGCAAATCAAATCAAACAAAATAAAGAAAAATCAATAATTTCCACCATTAAGGACTCAGCAGGGAACCCCACCAACTCACCGCAGGAAATAAATGAAATATTTAGAAACTTTTACGCCAAATTATACTCATCTGATAAAGACCCAAGACAGGAGGATATTGATTCATTTTTTAAAGACATTAAACTTCCACAACTTAATACAGATCAGGTCAATACACTCGACTCACCAATCACAGAAACAGAACTCTCTACTGCACTAAATCTCATGCCAAACAATAAAGCACCAGGTCCCGATGGCTTCCCTGCTGAGTTCTACAAACACTTCTGGTCCATTTTATCCCCACTCTTCATGAAAACAATAACTGAAATAAAACAAAACTCTAAGTTTCCGATACATATGAACACAGCTTTAATCTCACTTCTCCCCAAACCAAATAAAGATCACACCTTGCCGTCAAATTACCGTCCTATCTCATTAATCAACGTAGACATGAAAATCATCAGTAAAGCCCTCGCACTTAGGTTAGAAAAAGTCACACCTCACATAATTCACCCAGATCAGACCGGCTTCATTAAAGGTAGACAGGCATCCAACAATACACGTAGACTGTTCAATTTAATCCATTACTCATCATTACAACAGGAAGACACCATCATAGCCACTTTAGACGCAGAAAAAGCTTTTGACAGGGTAAACTGGACTTCTCTCTTTCATACACTACAGAAATTTGGCTTTGGGGAATCATTTATTAACTGGATCAAGATTCTGTACACCTCACCATCAGCCACCGTCACTACTAATGGTCTAACATCACAAAGATTCACACTGCACAGGGGGACCAGGCAAGGATGCCCACTCTCTCCCTCCTTATTCACAATTTTCATCGAGCCCTTAGCAACAGCCATCCGTCAAAACTCCCATATCCATGGAATTAAAACACCCCAAATACAGCACAAAATAAGTTTATATGCAGACGATATTTTACTTTTTCTTCAAAATCCCCAATCATCTCTGCAGGAATTAATAAATCTCTTGCTACTCAATAAACTGGAATAAATCATCCATCCTCCCATTGCACAACACCAGATGGGATGTGACAGCCCATACATTTCCCATTCCTCTATGCACGGGTCACTTCACATATTTGGGTATCAACATTTCCTCCAGGTTGTCAGAGCTGATAGAACTAAACTTCACTCCACTACTTAAAACAATAGATGACGACCTCCAACGCTGGATGAAGCTACCACTATCCATTCTAGGCAGAATACAATTAAAATGACAATACTACCTAAGATAAATTATCTTTTTTCAATGATCCCAACCCATCCCACTTCCACCTGGTTCAACTCTCTAGACTCAATAATCACTAAATTTTACTGGAAAAATAAAACACCAAGGATCAAACTGGCCACACTTCAAAAACCAAAATTACAAGGCGGATTAGATGCACCACATTTCAATTATTACTCTCTGGCAAATCAACTACAGTACATATACAAATGGACACACCCCAATTACTCAGATCACACCTGGTTAGACATAGAACAGACACTCTGTAAAGATATCCGGATTTCAGACACACAATTTCTCAGTCTATCAATCAAACGCCACCCCTGTTTCAAAGCAATAACAATAGCATCTGCTCTGACAGCCTGGTGGAAATTTCACAAAATCACAAATACCACTCTTTCACCATCTAGCCTCACCCCCATTTAGAACAATCCGGACCTCCTTTGCAACAAAAAAGCACTCAACTTTCACACATGGGCAGGAAAGGGCATCACACACCTTAAACACATTTTCCATAATAACACCCTGGCATCATTTCCCCACCTGGTCCAGGAGTACGGCATTGGGAGTAATCAATTTCTGGAATATTTACAGCTTAAGTCATCTGTCAAATCAAAAATTAACATCAGTTCCACAAATCTAGACCTTTCACCTGCACTATCAGAATTTATTAATATCCTTTCCCCCAAAAAACTCCTCTCCAAAATATATAAAATAATATTAGAATCTGACAAAATCATATCTCTACCATCACAAAAATGGCAACAAGACCTGGCAATTGCTCCTGATGCCGACTTCTGGACCCAGATCTGTAAAAACATTTATCTTATGACTAAAAATGCTAACTTACAACTCATACAATATAAGATACTTCACAGAACTCACTACACTGGACAAAAAATGTTTAAAATGGGCTTCACCTCAGAAATTTGCACCCACTGCACTCAAAACTGTCCCGACACCTACACTCACGCCATTTGGCACTGCAACCCAATCAAACACTTCTGGAAACTAGTCACCGAGTCATTATCACACCTCATGGTGCGCAAAATGTGGGGATCCTGTGTGGGCCGCGGGCCGTGTCCCCCGCCCCTTTTTGGCCCCACTCTGCCCCAGTTTCTTTTTTTGGCCCCGGGCCAGTTCCATGTCACATGCATCTCCGACTTTTAATGCATCACACACCAACCCTTCACACCCCACTTTTTAATGCATACATCACAGGGAAGTTTTTAATGCACCACATGAACATAACACAAGAGGAGAGTCATGTGCGGCCCGGGGTATTTAGAGGTGGAGTGGGTGGTCAGTTTGGTTGGCGGGTGGCCGCAGGGCCCTGTGGGGTGCCCCGCAGGCGTCCCACCACGGTGGACGTGGGTGCTGGTCGGCCTGCTTTTTGGGTGGTGCGGGGGGCCGGGCTGGCCTCTGGCCCGGGCCATAGTGTTGTGGATTGTGGTGGCTTTTGTTGTTCCATATCCTCATTAGTATGACTGTCATTATTGTTAGCGTCGTTGCGGTCATTTGTTTGCTGTCATTGCTGTCGCCGGTATTCCTGGTGTTGTTACTGCTAATGCTGTTGTGGTTGTTGTATCGTCGTGTGTGTGGGAATATATGTGTATATATATGTACACTCACCGGCCACTTTATTAGGTACACCATGCTAGTAACGGGTTGGACCCCCTTTTGCCTTCAGAACTGCCTCAATTCTTCGTGGCATAGATTCAACAAGGTGCTGGAAGCATTCCTCAGAGAGCTTGGTCCATATTGACATAATGGCATCACACAGTTGCCGCAGATTTGTCGGCTGCACATCCATGATGCGAATCTCCCGTTCCACCACATCCCAAAGATGCTCTATTGGATTGAGATCTGGTGACTGTGGAGGCCATTTGAGTACAGTGAACTCATTGTCATGTTCAAGAAACCAGTCTGAGATGATTCCAGCTTTATGACATGGCGCATTATCCTGCTGAAAGTAGCCATCAGAAGTTGGGTACATTGTGGTCATAAAGGGATGGACATGGTCAGCAACAATACTCAGGTAGGCTGTGGCGTTGCAACGATGCTCAATTGGTACCAAGGGGCCCAAAGAGTGCCAAGAAAATATTCCCCACACCATGACACCACCACCACCAGCCTGAACCGTTGATACAAGGCAGGATGGATCCATGCTTTCATGTTGTTGACGCCAAATTCTGACCCTACCATCCGAATGTCGCAGCAGAAATCGAGACTCATCAGACCAGGCAATGTTTTTCCAATCTTCTATTGTCCAATTTCGATGAGCTTGTGCAAATTGTAGCCTCAGTTTCCTGTTCTTAGCTGAAAGGAGTGGCACCCGGTGTGGTCTTCTGCTGCTGTAGCCCATCTGCCTCAAAGTTCGACGTACTGTGCGTTCAGAGATGCTCTTCTGCCTACCTTGGTTGTAACGGGTGGTTATTTGAGTCACTGTTGCCTTTCTATCAGCTCGAACCAGTCTGGCTATTCTCCTCTGACCTCTGGCATCAACAAGGCATTTCCGCCCACAGAACTGCCGCTCACTGGATATTTTTTCTTTTTTGGACCATTCTCTGTTAACCCTAGAGATGGTTGTGCGTGAAAATCCCAGCAGATCAGCAGTTTCTGAAATACTCAGACCAGCCCTTCTGGCACCAACAACCATGCCACGTTCAAAGTCACTCAAATCACCTTTCTTCCCCATACTGATGCTCGGTTTGAACTGCAGGAGATTGTCTTGACCATGTCTACATGCCTAAATGCACTAAGTTGCCGCCATGTGATTGGCTGATTAGAAATTAAGTGTTAACGAGCAGTTGGACAGGTATACCTAATAAAGTGGCCGGTGAGTGTATATGTGTGTATGTATGTGTGCATGTATGTTTGTATGTGTATGTATATGTATACATATAATTATTATTATATAGATATTCCAATGTAATCCAATTAAGATTTTTTTTTTCTTTTCTTTTTAAATTCTCTTTTACATATTATATAAATTCCTTCCCCCCTCCCTCACAAAAGTATTTTTGTAAATTTTTAATTTTTTTATCTTTTTGTTGTTGTTGTTGTTTCTATTGTTGTTGTCACTCTGTTTTGTTGTTAAATAGAATTTAAAAAAAAAAAAAAAAAGAAATCCAGTTCAAAATCCTCCTGTATACCTTTAAAGCCATCCACAACCTCGCCCCTCCTTACCTGTCTGACCTCCTCCACATCGCCACTCCATCATGTTGCCTCCGATCCTCTTCCTCTCTCCACCTCACTGTGCCCCCTTTTCACCTCAGCACCATGGGGGGTAGAGCTTTCATTCGCTCTCCCTCCCCCTCTTCAAATCCAAACTCAAGACACACCTGTTTAAACTGGCCTATCCATCCCACCACCCCGAACTCACTCTTTTAATTTAATTTGAATTGGTATTATTTATTTCTTTATTTATTCCTTTGCTGTTGTTTATGCTGCTTCGTTGATTTTAACTGTTTTGATGATTGATGATTTTAATTGTTAATAGTGTTTCGTTATCATTATCATATGTTCTGTATAGTGTCCTTGAGTGACATGAAAGGCGCTCCAGATAAAATGTGTTATTATAATTATTTTACCATCCAACCCACCATCCTTCCTGTGTTTCCTGGATCGCAGATTACCTGACAAGAAGGCACAATTTGTCAGTCTGGGGAACTGTGTTTCTGGGACATTAATGAGCAGTACAGGGGCTCCACAAGGGACAGTGCTGGCGCCATTCCTGTTCAGCGGTGTGTCAGGTGTGCTGGTACTTTTACTCACTCACTTACAACATGGAGACGTGGACTCTCCACATTTTATCTGCAGTGTACTAAAAATATTCTAATTTCTAAGTTATCTGCAGGCTTCTGTTGCACAATGTTTTTAAGTATCCCATCTCAATAAATGAGAATATATTTATTTTTATTTGTTGAGGAGTACCTGTACTGTATGCTGTTAGCTTGCTTCTGTGAGGCTCACAGCTAGAACACTGCAGCAGCATGCCTTGATGTTGAATGTTGTGTATGTTGTTGCAAAGTTTATTTCAGGGGTACAGTATCAGGGGAAGGTACTAAAACAGTAGAGGAGATAAGAGTGTGCAACTTTCTTTATTGTTCTTGTTCAAATGATCCTTAGTCGGCACCTTGTCAAACTTGGGTGTGCTCCTCTTGTACAAAGCCTACAGGTACAGTAAGAACCTCATCCAACGTTCACCCCCTCCCAAATCCATCGATCAGTGATGAGAACAATGAGGAGTATAAGGTCCATTAGTCCACTGAAACAGATAGCCGCGATCCGGTTTGATTGCATTCACGCTGACTGCAATCAGTATGAGTGGTGACAGCGGACGCTTTTCGACATTAAAGAAGGAAATATTGATAATATATCTTCGTTAGCACCAAGTGTTTCGTTTCTATTTATTTGAAGCGTGGATCATAGTTGTGGAGACGTCCACACAAACATTGAATACTAGCAACAAGCAAGGTGTACAGGCTGTGTTAATTACATTGAATATCAGTTGAACGAATGATACACAGATTCACTGCCCCCTATCGGCCAGAAGTGGCCAGAACGAGTGGGGTCAGTGACGTCACTTTTCTGCGCCACTTGAGATTGAGAATCAGATTGAATTATGAGACAGTTTTTGCGGGGCGAGCACGAAAACGACAAAGCATTTCTGCGTTTGCTTTTGCTTTTTAATTTAGTCACAAAATGAGCAGTCTTAAAGAAGAAAATGAAAATGCATTTTGGAATATTGCTTTTGATTTTTATTTTTGAGTCAAAACGCATTTCTGCTAATGCTGTTGAATTTGAGATATGAGTCACAATCGCATCCATAATGCTTAATGCGCCCTTTTTAACAACCCATAGCTGGTAGTCTGCTGTGTTTTGTAACTCGTCCCATAGCTCAGCTGCCAAGTTGCTGATGTGAGCCTGTGACAGTGTGTTAGGCAGAAATGTCAAAAATTACGGGAAAAGGAGCGTCCCGTTTTAGTTCATTACGGGACATGTCTTTTTGTTTTCGAATACGGTATGATCCAATTTTTTACGGTACGGTTGGGAACCATAGTGGGGACTAGCATGCCCTGGTCTTTGTCTTGTTTAGAGTCAGTACACTCTGCGTGATCACCTACCATAAAACTGTAGTTTAGGACTGCGCACAACATGATCACGTGCTTCCTACTTACCCAACCACCGTAATAACAGTTGTTCTAGTATACACGCAACATTTTCTTCCTCATTAATGAAAATGCTTTTTCCTCCTTCATGAAACACTAAAATCGGGAACATTTCTGGGGAAAGCTTTTGCTAGGGACAGGTTATCCAAAACGGGGACTGTCTCCGTAAATCTGGGACATCTAGTCACCCTACATAACGCAGAATTTAATTGAACCATGTAACATTGTGAATAAAATGTATGTAAATCCAGCGAAATGTGGGATAATCGTCATCTGCTGTCTATTGTGTGTGTGGCTGAAAACAATATGGAAAGAGGGATTGTGGGAAATCCTCAGCAGAAATGAGGATTCAACCAAGAAGTAACATGTCCCAATGTCTGGGCAAAAACTTTGTTTGGGGTGTTGGAGTCATGTTAAAATTAATCTTATAGTGTGTATGGATTTGCTGTGTGTTTATGTTGATTTTTTCATGTTCTCCACAACTACAATGGTGTTTTTGTTGTTTTGTTGCCGACGGAAATGTGTAGCACGGAGCGAGCAGTATTAGCTTAATACGATCATTTTTTCTTCTGTCGTGTCGTTATGTTAATTTCACGTTCATCCCATGCCAGTTATTGACATGTTGAATATAAAAATATATTAGGGTAAGAGCTGATAAGAATGTGTAGCTTGTATATTAAAATTAACTTTCAACACACATTCACTTTTTATTTTGTTATATTCACAGATATCTCGGTATTAAAAAATCCACTATAAGATCACAGTAAAAGTAGTTTAAAGTGTTTTATTGTATTTGTTTCATAGCTACTCTTTATTTGTGATATAGAGTAGAAATAATGTGATAAGTATCACGTTATTTTGTGATATTTATCATGTTATTTCATGATACTGACCCTTTTTTTCGGTGGCAACTATACGTTTCTGTAGGAATGCGTAAAGCAGTTTATATGGGTCTGCATGATATACCTCTGCATGTACACCTAAAAAAAATGAAATATCGTGACAATGTTCAGTATTTTTTGTCATTCAATTCATACAGTAAAAAAACAAATAAAGATTTATTACATAAAGAAATATTTCAAACCTTTATTTCTTGAAATGTTGATGATTATGGCTTACAGATAATGAAAACCCAAAATTCAGTGTCTCAGAAAATGAGAATATTGTGAAGTCATGAAGTCATTCAGCTAATGAACTCCAAACACCTGCAAAGGTTTCCTGAGCCTTTAAATGGTCTCTTAGTATGGGTCGGTTAGCTACACAATTATGGTGAAGACTGCAGACTCGACAGATGTCCAGAAGACAGTCATTGTGGAGGGTGTCGATGATGTTTCAAGAAATGAAGGCTTGAAATCATAAATCTATATATGGGTTTCACTTTACGTGGAAAAAAAATTAATAAATATTGAAATTTGTCATAATCCAATTTTTTAGGTGTACCTGTACATGGCAATCACTTCCTGAAGAAGTGAATGGGTGACTGTCTAAGAAAAATTAATAGAAACACTGTCACTTGCAACATAGATGGAAAAGAGATATCAGCAGTGGTATTTTCTTCTGGCAGAGCCCAGTGCACTGCCAGTTTGGTATTTTCATGGACTGAGGCGCACAGAGGTCCGCTAAGCTGGGTGTGGTGATGCGGCAGGGGGAGGTGTTGACAGAATCAGCTGGCGCAGTGACATTTTCGTGCCTGGCAGCTGCGTAGAAATTGCGCTGAAAGCTTGCTGATTCAAACCTGGTCAGCTCTCAGCACAGGTGGAGCACAGCTGGTCTAGTGGTATTTTGGTAGACGGCGACGTAGTGCGCATACATCACCGTTCCCTCACCAGCAGGTTTCCACAGTGGCAGGCACATTTCAGTGCAATAAATAATCAACAATAATTAATATTCTGAGTCAGCACATACATTTACATGTATATCGATATATTCTGATCTATACAACATATTGTAGCAGCTGGGGGCGGGGTTGACGGAGAATGGAATTACATGTAGTAAAATACTATAACAACTATTTACCAATTAACTAATCAACTACTGATTACCAACTACGAAATGATTTTATTGCCAACAACGCCACCCCAGGAATTTCACCTGGAGAGTAGAATTACCTCTTAATGAAGTGTTAAGGCGCACACAGGTTTGTCTGCCAGTGAAGACGGGAGGCCCTGGTCCAGTGTACAAATACCTTTGATTTTTATTTCACAATTTCACCAATAAACAAAGTCAATAAAATATTTTTCACTCATTCACCTACACTCATTCACACACAAACACACACACGTCTCTAAACCATAGCAACAATATTGCCTATAAAACTGATGTGCAATTAGCGAATTTTGGTTAAATCAGAAATAAACCACAAATACAAAACAAAGAAAATTAGCAAGCAAAGAAAAGAAAATAACTCAATCGTATTTAGAAATGACCAAACCAAACAAAAATGCTAATAAATCAAATACTAATAACTAACAAAAAAATAATAATAACCAAACCAAAGAAACAAAACATACAAACACCCAAATCACAAAATAATAACAAATGATTTAAACCATAATGGGATAAATGCCAACAAAATGAGGAAGCTGAGGCAACAGGTTACCTAAAGTTTAGTCCACAGGGTGATGACGTCACCTCACACTAAACAAGACACCACCCATTCAAAGTTGGATGGTGACAGCCTTACCAACGGCGATGAGACAGGAGTACAATGAAGCAGGCAACAGTGGTAGCAGTAACAACCACAGCGCAGCTGCAAAGGAGCAAAACGGCAGCACAGGAGCAAAACAGCAGCACAGACGATAGCGGCCCGAGAGGAGGGATGAGAGTTTAGGGCAGCCCGACACGGCTCACACACAAAACCGTCAGAAGGTTAAATGAACCTCACGAGGGTGAGGGAAAGAGGCACCCGGAACGCCGCAGCGCATAAATCAATCCGCCATTCAGCTGATCACCCCCAGCTGTGTGGGGATGCGGGAACACACACTATGGGTCCCGCACTCGGTTCAATGCGGAAGAGAGAAGATCCAGTGAGGAACAAGAGCAGCGAGCTGAGCAGACAGCGCAATCCGGCAGCGAGGCGATCAGGTGAGGTGACCAGGTGTTGTGATTAACGGAGCGCAGGGCGGATGAGAGCTCTGAACAGAGGGAGAGGGCTCTCAGGGAGCAAGCGCCCACATTTAAAGACTACGCCCTCCTAAGGCATAGGCTGAGACTGCAGCCTAATTAAGGTGCAGCTGGGCTGTCTGCCCATACTGCCACAATATCAACCAACGACGCCACTTTCGCTGACTCTCTGAACTCCTTTTACACCCGCTTTGATACCGCTGATCACTCTGCCCTTTGCAATGAGCTGCTCAGTGCCTTGCCCCATCTCAGCCTCCATTTTCTGTGGAGGATGTACGCCTGCAGCTGAGCAGGTCTAAAGTGGGTAAGGCACCAGCCCTGGATAACATCCTGGCCAGGGTGCTGAAGCTGTGCGCTATAGTATTATCCCCAATCCTGCATTCCATCTTCCGGGACTCCATCAGGCTGGCACACATCCCTACAGCCTGGAAAACCTCCATAATCATCCCAGTTACCAAGAAGCCACGTCCATCCGAGCCAAACCACTACAGACCGATTGCACTCACCTCCATCATAGAATAGAATAGAATATTCCTTTATTGATCCCCCATGGGGGGAAATTTTTTTGTCACAGCAGCATCACAGTCAAAGAGTGCAAAAATGCAGTTATAAAAATAAAGATCCTAATATTAAGAACTTAAATAAATGTAATAAGAAAAAAATTAGAAAAGGGAAAAAAAGGGAGAAGAAAAATAAAACTATCTACAATATACACAATTTAAATGCCAGAAAAAAAGTGGTGGTGTAAATCCAGTTATTATTACAGTTCGTTGTAAAGTCTTATTGCAGAGGGGGGGAATGACCTGCGGTAGCGCTCCGTCTTGCAAGGTGGGAGTCTCAGTCTGCTGCTGAAGGAGCTGCTTAAAGCCCCCACAGTCTGGTGCAGTGGGTGAGAGGGATTGTCCATGATGGATATATGCTTTGTTAACATCCTCCTCTCACCCACCTCCTCCAGGGAGTCCAAAGAACAGTCCAGGACAGAACTGGCCCTCCTGACCAGTCTATTCAGTCTCTTCCTGTCCCTCTCGGTGCTCCCTGCCCCCCAGCAGACCACTGCATAGAAAAGTGCAGATGCTACCACAGAGTCATAGAAAGTCCTGAGCAGAGTCCTGCACACTCCAAAGGACCTCCGTCTCCTCAGCAGGTGGAGACGACTTTGGCCCTTCTTGTACAGGACGTCTGTGTTGGTTGACCAGTCCAGTTTATTGTTGAGGTGGACACCCAAGAATCTGTAGGACTCCACCATCTTGATGTCCAGACCCTGGATGTTCACTGGAACAGTCTGAGGTGTCCTCCTCCTGCGGAAATCCACAACCATCTCCTTTGTCTAACTGGCGTTGAGCTGGAGGTGGTTTGTGTCACACCAGTTGACATAGTCACTGATGACAGTCCTGTATTCCCGCTCATCCCCTGTTGATACACATCCGAGGATGGCTATGCTTGGAAAAGCTCATCCTCCACTCCATCCTTCCAGCTGTCAGACCTCTACTCCCATACCAGTTTGCATACAGGGCAAAACGGGGAACAGAGGACGCAGTAGCATGTCTCCTCCACCCCCTCCTGCACCATCTCGAATCACCTGGCACCTTTGCAACAATCCTCTTCATTGGCTTCAGCTCAGCATTCAATACTATACAGCAGCACCAGATGATCAGGAAGCTCCAAACCCTCAACCTGTCCCCACTCCTCATCCGCTGGATCTTCAACTTCCTCAGTAATAGACCACAGGCTGTTAGAATCGGTTCATCCACCAGAATCACCAATACCGACGCCCCCCAGGGGTGTGTTCTCAGTCCATTTTTGTACACCCTCTACACCAATGACTGCACCAGTTCCTCACCTGTCACCACATACTTTAAATACTTTGATGACACTGCCATTCTTGCACTCCTCAAGGACAATAACTCCATAACTTCTTACCACCAGTCTGTCACCCACTTCACCAAGTGGTGCTCTGACAACTTTCTGGAGCTGAATGTGGACAAGACAAAACTACTACTACTCATACACACACAGTCACACACCCCGGACCTGGCACTCACTACCATACACAACAAAGCAGTCGAACGCGTTGATAACTTCAAATATCTTGGACTCACACTTGACAATAAACTAACTTTCGAACATGTCACCGCTGTCCATAAATGTTACCAGCAAAGACTCCACATCCTCCGCAAGCTCCGTTCCCTGTCTGTCAAACCAAAACTTCTCCTACTGTTATACACCAGCATCATTCAACCCATACTTCTCTACTGCTCCCCTTGTTACTTTAACATGCTGTCCATCACTAACAGAAATAAACTCACCAAGGTCACCCACACAGCATCCAAAATCATCAGCCTGCCCATTACAGACCTCTCACACCTCAACAATATCGCCATCACACGCATGGTCTGGACTATCAGCACAGACTCAGACCACCCTCTCCACAGTCACTTCTGCCTGCTGCCCTCAGGCCGAAGGTTCAGGACATTCAGGTTCAGGTAATAATCCATTGCCTAATCTGCATGTGTGTTGTCCTGTGTGCCATGTCCTTATTGTTAGTACTGTAATGTCCTGTGTGCCCCGCTGTACCTTATTATGTAACGTGCCTTGTTGTCCTTAAGTCTATGTGTCCATGCCAGTGCCTGTGAAAATTCATTTCCCCCAAGGGACAATAAAGGTCTGTCTGTCTGTCTGTCTGTCTGTCTGTCTATCTGTCTATCTATCTATCTATCTATCTATCTATCTATCTATCTGATGAGTGCATTTGGCACGCCTTTGGACACTCAACCTGACCGAATTAACACAGCTGAAAGCATTCAATTAAATTAACTAGTAAATACACACACAATGAAGTTAACAAGATATTTAATTCGTCTCTCCCTTTTTCTATCTTCCACTTACTCTTATTTCTTGTGCAGCTCGACCTGGACATGTCTCCGTGTCTTCTCCCTGTCCTGCTGCTGCTGTGGCAGCTGAACAGCTGATTTATTTTAGTAATCAGATGAGTTATTTACGTTAAGCCTGCATACAAATATAATATTCAGTTGCGTGAGCCAAGTTCATTTTATATGCCAACATCAATGAAAGAAAGAGCCAGACCACAGAGCGCGATGTGACATTTATGCACAGATGGTTCAGATTTTAATGCTATTATCGGAATTTATGTTGTGATCTGTGCGCACAACCCACCTTTGTCACGTGAGGTTTATATATATATGCAACTTTATGTGATTGTCTTTATTTGTGGAAAATGGTGTTTGTCTTACCAGTGGGTCCAACCTTACACACACCAAATCCATCTGTGCTTATATGAGACGGTGTGGAGGATGCCCTCTGCAGCGCTTACAGCGACACTTATTGAGGGGCTGCCTACTGTCGCCATCATTTGGCATTGCTGTCTTCAGCCATCTCTTGATCTCTTCGACTACTTCACAAAAATTGTGATACGCCTCGCCGGTGGCAGATTTAGAGGTGAGAAGAGAAGCTGATATGATTGGCAAAAACAGGTCTTGACTGTGTTAAACCCACTCTACGCCTTCTCTCATCCCTCTCTACAACTCTCTACAACCCCCTTCCCCAACTGAGTTAGGGAGGGGGGATACTTACGCAGGGCTGTGCCGCTCACCAAAATACCAAAATGTGCTTGGGCACGCGCTGTCGGCGCGGTGGACCTGACTTACGCCGCGCCTGCACCACGACACCGGTGAGGCACGAGAATAGAGCCACTGACCAATGGAGGCACCAAAGCTAAGCGGCCAACATCAGCAGGTAATTTTTAGAAGAAAAAGACAACTGCACTTGATCCTGTTTATGTCCACAGACTTTTGTTCCTGCCAAATTATATCAAATAATCTGTTGCACCATTTGGATTCACAACAAGCTGTTGGCCTAAAGCAAATTCCCCAAAGCTTCTCTTATTATTGTACTGTTTCCCTCTCTGTCTTTGTTTCAGGGTTCAGACCCGGATTTTGTCACAGTGGTTCAAGTTTGTGTAACCCCTTTTAAAATATACAGAGTGTGAGCCAGAGACTGGCCTCAGGGTGAGAAAGTCCCACTAGGCCCCTTTTAATCCAAAATTAATTGCCCCCTGAAATATTCAACTAAAGTTGCAATCTGTGCTGATACAAAGGGAGCTCTACAGAGAGCGGCAAGAACATCATGTTAAAAAATGAGTGTGCTGTATTTTGAAGAAAAACAAAGAGAGGCAGGCTTTTCACACAATATCTGGAGTGCCAACACAATTCTTATTCAGCTCTCGAGTATGCAATGTTGCCAGAGTCTTATTGCTGCGGACATTGCCACCCAAACATTTCAATCCACTTCAAACAAGCCTGGAAGACCGGGGGATTTAACTGCATTGGACTTGTTCTTTTAATTACTTTGTCTGCCATTGTCTTTCAAGTTAATTAAGTTTGACCATGTTGAAGCTGAAGGGGAAGGACTTAACATGAGAGCCCTGTAAGAGCTTAGTGTCTGCAGCAAAAACACAAACCCTGCATCATCACCAAATGATTCAGAGAACAAAACAATGAGCTTCATTCAGCATACTAACAGGATGATTGTCATTGATATCAGGTAAATCAAAAAGGCGTTACAAGGAAAGGTAATAATTTTTATTAGACTTAAAAAAAAAAAAAAAGTACAATCTTACTTTGTAAAATGTTTTTGTTTTAGTCCAAGAAACAAATTAAGACATGCTCTTAATGTTTATCGGTCACCCTAACACTATCAATGTGTAGGTGTCTGTGTTATTTGTCTCTGTGTGTCCCTCTCAGGATGTACTGACAACCTGTCCGGGTATACCCCACTCCTCTTCAAGCAACAGCAGCCTGGATTGGCTCTGAAAGTATGCTCCAGTAAGAATGGCTGATGCTTAATCTTAAACACTGATGTAAGGGGGTATTTTACTCTTTACTGAAGTCCACATAGACGTCTTACTGTGGAGTTAGTACTGTCTACAAATGCTCTGATTGGGTTACTTTTGTCTTACGGTACTTTGTGTTCCCCTTGCACATTGGGTCACCACTCCTGTCTTTAGTGGGGTATGATGAAATATAGTCAGCGATCAGTTAGTGATTGTCTCATTACAGGCAACCAAAGGAAAGAACAGTGGGGGTAAACCCTCCCTCCATCGGCTGAATTCCTGTCTGTGCAGCGAAAACAGCTTCAGGAGAAATGTAGTTGAAGTGAAACATGGTCTCACAGCAACAAGCTGACCTAACACCACCACTACCCACCTGTCTTACTCTAACATTTCCTCATAAAACAGGGAGGCATGTACCCTTGATATTGATTTTAAAGATTCATGTGGTTAATACTTACACTGTAACATGTGGTAGCTATGGCTGAAGAGTTTTCCTTTGCTTTTCTTAGTGAAGAACAAACTTTTAACAAAACAATGTTTATAGTGTCACCTGGACAAGTTTAATCTGGACTAGACAAAAATCACCTTCATTTTCATAGCAGTTACAGTTTGTGTGTAGTGTTGAGACTTCCGTTTACATGGTAACTTTATGATCAGTAAATTGAACATGAAAGTCAGTGGTGATAACTTTTGTTATCCTTTACAAACTTTTCTATAACCCTGTTGACCTTTTACATACTTCACAGTTTCATCTGTTTTAACGTAAGGGAGCAAGTTAACACCACAAGTTAATACTCAATGTAGTATTTCTTAAATCTTACTAGCTGCCATGAACAACTGTCTTTTGTGAGCTGTTAGATGGTAAGGGAATGTTTATTATATACATTTTAGGGCTGTCAAAAAGAGCTTTTTCATGATAGTTCATTAAAATTCCTTTATTTTGCATTTCATACCAATTTTAAGGTTGTATTAACAATGTATAGATGATCTTCGCAGCAATTTTATTCGAAAATGAAATGAATGCAAAGAAATGTACCCTATAATTTTGACCTTTAGATGTATTAAAAGAGTGTGGTGGCAAACCAGGAGGAATGACACACTGCAAAATAAAAAACATAAGCAAAAAGCCAAAGAAAAATCTGCATATACAGCAAATGTGCTGCAAATTTTAAAAAAAAGAACAGAAAAAAAAAACAGATAATGTTGCATTACACCAAAGTTGAATGAAACCATTCTGACACCAGTACTGAAAAAAAGGTGTGATGCAAGGAGTAATATTTATTCCATTCCTGGAGACCTGAGCTAAGAAAACCTTTGGTCCACTGTGCCCACCTCTGCAGTTGACTGACTCATGCAATGTAGGAAAGTGGGGAATCACTCACTCACCTCTAGTTGCTTTTGTATAAAATGTGTGGACAGGGTGCAAACAAACTGAACTTTAGGGGTTGAACATGACTGAATGTGGGATAGATTACATAGTGTGAATGCACCATAAGATTAACCAAAGATTCAACCTATTTACTTTCAATCTCAAGTCCATACAAAGACACATTTTAAAACATTTATCCAAAGGTCTTTGAGTTAAATTTGCAGCAAACTTCACTAAACTTTTTCGCCTTCGATCCAACTATTGAATGTTCTTGAACGTCTGGCTTTCTGCACAACATAGCTATAGGCACCAATTAAAAAGCCAGTGAGGCCAGAGCCTTCCCATAAATGTGAAACTTTTGGAATATTACTGCCTGCTTACTTTTTTAACTGGAAGCTGATTATAGATTATATGATAAAAGTTTGCAAAAGCCAAGGAGAGAGACAGCTAAAAAGCTGGCATAGAGAGAATGAAGCACAGGTATTGATTTTGGCTCTATTTTTGGTCATACAGCAGGTCAGTAGGCAAGATAGTTTAAAACATGATAGCCTGAATGAAACTGAGCCATCAAGCAGAGGTACTCAGTGATCCAAATAAACTCACAATTGATTAAAATATATTAAATGTGATGAGAAAGGGATACAATAATGTGTCTCTGTCTTTTTATCTATCTCAGAAGCACAGAGCCATCCCACTCATCTCTGCAATGATGTTTTCTCTCTGTATCATACTGTAGGGAACATCTTCCTAGTGTTACTGAAAAAAAATAAAAAAGGTGTTTTGATGTATTTAGTCTGCCACAGCACTCTGGTAAGGCTCAACACAAAAATAAATATTGGCCTTTAGGAAATAAGAGTCAATAAATATCCAATGTCTCGACAGGTCTCTATTTTTAATTTTATGTGTGGGCTCTGTGCAGGGGTCTGTTTTCTTCTGTCATGGGCATATCATTTATAGAGACACGTGGCAGGATGTGTCATTTTGTGTTCTGGCTGGGTGCATCTTTCACATGGTTGGGTTTTGTGTTGCTCCAGATGATCATATTGTTCTGACACAGTCAAATTAGATTTAAAAAATTCAAGAATCAGACTGTAATCATATTTTGAGCCATATTAGGTTAGCTATGCTGAAACAAGAGTTTCAAAAAAGACAGAAAAAATGATTTCTGTGTCATTAGTGGGGTGGTGTGTATTGATTAGTGAAAAGGTGTTTGTATCAATAATTATAAAAACTGCAGGAAAAAAAAATGTCTGCACAGCTGGCATCTTTGTGAATGAATATGATCATTGGTTGAAATCAGTTTTTTATGCTCATTACAACAGAGATATTTTTCACACTGAGATTTTTAATGAGCTGCTGCTTGATGCTCTGCTTGAGTATCATAATTATTGTAAAGTTTATTTGTATAGAACCTTTAAAACATTACATGTTGGTTTCCACATGGCTCTTTCTTCTTGGTGACTATGATTTTCCATCTATGATAATAATGATAATAATAATAATTACTATTATTATTGCTTCATTTGTAAATAGAAAAAAAAACAAAAACTATCTTGCATATGGTGTTCCATAGGGTTCTATTTTGGGTCATTCATCATTTTTAATCTACTTAAATATCCCAGTGGTTTGCCACTTGCTTCAGACGTGAGCTAGTCCTACATTTAAATGTATCCAGATCTTAGCTCAGTTTTTTAAAACAGTTATAAATAATTCAAATAACCATGAGAAAACTTTTTCAGGTACTTGAACGGTGGAATTTGACTTGTCTATTTCTTGTCATATTGTCCTTCTGAACTTACTTCAGTTTCACAGATGGCCTTACCTTTCAAAAGGCTACCTTTTCAAGACCTTTACAATTTTCTATTTACCCACTCCCACTGACTTTAGAAAAAAAAAAAAAATATATATATATATATATATATATATACAGTATATATAATTCATAACAATCTGCTTAATTGTACAGCACCTTTAAGAGCAATCTTGTTTTATTTAAGGTCCCTTGTCATCCTCTTTCTTTTTACCTGCTCTCACAAGAGCAGATATTGTCAATAAATAATAAATATTTAAAAATTAATGATGATTAGAAGAATATTTAAAATCATAATATTAACAATAACTTTATTTTAATCACCTTTTAAAAAGGACTTTACATCGTGCTTGGACGTGTTAAAAGCAGAGAAGTAAAATACATCATAAACCAGAAAACATACATATATATACATATATATATATATATATATATATATATATATATATACTGTATATTTATGTGTGTGTACGACATAAGACATGAGGACATAACAACCCTACAACACATGGAAATAGTTAAAAGTGGTAAAGATAGTACCACTCATGCTGATGACACAACTATGTCCCTTCAAAATTCAGGAATAATTTTCTCTAATATTCTCTCCCCAAATTACATTTAGAAACAGGAATTTATAACTCCCTCCAACCAGGCCCGGTTCTACGGGGGTGCATAAGCATGCATTGCACCCTCAGTTTCTGTGGCTGCATGCTCAGTTGGAAAGAGGGAGAAGTGCGCGTGCGTCAGGGCACATCACTCATCTGCCTTCCTTGGGTTCACTGCCGGGAAAATGAACTTAAAGCTGGACAGAATGAATGAGAAAACACCGCTGGAGATCTCCGGCTTCTTCCTCAACTTCCACCTCCTCTTCGGACTCGGGGTCTAAAATATATGGTTTAATACCTGCCGTTTTTAGCCTTTAGCATAAGGTAACCAGACGTCCCCGATTTCCGGGGACAGTCCCCGTATTGGATGACCTGTCCCCGGCAAAAGCTGTCCCCGAAAATGTCCTCGATTTAAGCGTTTCATGAATGAGAGCAAAAATGTTGCGTGTGGGCTTGAACACCGGTTATTAAAGTAGCCGAATAGGTAGGAAGCACAAGTAAGCAGTCCTGAACAACAGTTCTTATGGGGGTTATTACAAGGGGCATGCGCTGCTACTAAATAGTACCGAGATTTTGTCTGTGATCACACAGCCCCTGCAGCCCCTGCGCCGCCGCCGCACCGAATATCCCCGGATATCATTACAGACATCTGGGCACCTTACTTTAGCACACATTAGCATATGCTATTAGCATTAGCATAATAACAATGGATAAACCGAAATCCGAACCTCCACTGCTGAGCCAATCAGAGCACAGCAGGCTTCACAGCAGCGATCCAATCAGAGCAAAGCTCATTACCATAAATGTTAATGAGCCAAAACCAGTTGGTTTTCCTGTAAGGTTTTTTAGGCATACTAAAACAAACCATCAAATAACTTTTCAGCTAAAATTATGTTGCAAACATGATCAGAGGACATCAAGGATTATGAAAAAATGATAAAAATGGGTATGAAATTTTGGTAGCAGGTCCCCTTTAAAATATTCTTTTTTGACTGGTAGAATTCCAATTGAAGTGACTGTCATGCTTAGTGATGGTTTTGAGCTGTATAGTTAAAAATAGTTTGAATTTCTATGTTAAATATTCAGAGTAAGGAACGTCTGCTGCAAAACTGCATTTGAAAGACACTTTAAATATTCTTGTTTGACTATTATCATTCCACATGAAATGACTGTCATGTTTAGTGATGGTTTTGAGCTGTATAGTTAAAAATAGTTTGAATTTCTATGTTAAATATTCAGGGTAAGAAACATCTGCATTTCCTTTTTCTACAACAATTTTGCTACAATAAAGCATATGAAAGACATTTTAAATATTCTTGTTTGACTCGTTTCATTCCGCTTGAAATGACGGGAAAATGCATAATTTAGTGTTGAATAATGTGCCAGGCATGTGCACCCCCTCTGATCTGAGATGCACCCCTAGTCATCATTTTCTAGACCCAGCCCTGCCTCCAACTCTCAGGCCCATTTTCCCGCTGACAGGGGAGACCAGAAAACTGTTGCTTGTATTTGTCATTTTGTACTTTTTTTCCACAGGTTAGATCATATTTCCTACCAGGTTAAGAAAAATTAATTCATGCATTTATTACCAGGCTTGATTGATGATCTTTAACCTTTTTTTCTTTACACTTCCTATTTCTGAATTGTGCTGCTTTGGTGGATAAAGATGTAAAAAGAAATCAGCTGCTGACTGCAGAATTTTGGGGTCTCTGTTAGTCATTCAGACAGCTGGCACTTCAGTCAACCAGAAACAATGTTAACCACAGACTTGCTGTTTACAACAGACTTGCTGAACTGTGTTATGTGGTCACTGTGTGCACACAACCATAACATGCTAGAGAGGACACAGAGGTGTAATGAGAGGCCCTGTCTGAGTTAAAATGAGAGCAAATTAGTCTGTCCAGACAAGACCTTGAATTTAGATGAGATATGAGTCTAATCTGTTCAAGAAAGGGGCAGCTGCTGCAGGGTTTATTAAATGTTTTCCAGGATGAAGCTCTATACACATCTGATGACAAATAAATAAATAAATAAATAAAAAAATCAGAGGACTTTTGGACTCTTTACCCTTCCCAAAACAACCTTCTGTTGTTCACAAACTAAAAGTATCTAATAAAATAAGAAAACAAGGTGGATATGATGACCACTTCCCCTGTGTGTGTGTGTGTGTGTGTGTGTGTGTGTGTGTGTGTGTGTGTGTGTGTGTGTGTGTGTGTGTGTGTGTGTGTGTGTGTGGCTGCTCTCTTTAGGCCTAGAGGTATGTATTGAAGCTAACATAAATATTCAATTTAAAAAGTGATGTTACAAAAATAAAAAAAAACTCCTGACATAAGCTACTCACACTAACTTTAAATTAGAAATGAACTATAATATTGGAGTGAGATCACATTAACTGATCACCCTTGTCCTGCGCAATGACTATTGTGCATGTCCATTGTGCAGCCCTAGCCTGGCTTTTTGTCCAGCGTTTACTGAAGATCTTGTAACTTGTGCTGTACAACACAATACAATTAGAATTAATACAGAATTAATGTAAAATTGCCACCACAAGTAGTCCCGGATCAATGGGGTACCTCAAATTAAGCCCAAGATTAATGTTTTAAAACATAACTTGAATAAAGGTGTTTGAACTCTGAATGAAGATTTGAGATTTGATTTATTTGGTCCCCTTGAAGAAATTCATCTTCACTGACTGTACATTATGGGAAAGACAACAACATTGCACATTACAAACATCAACAAACAGTAAGGACAGACATAAATAGTGTGGGACAGTGATAACAGCAAAAGGTGACAGGCTGGTCAGTCAGTGCTGTCGCTGCAGAGCGTGCGCCATCTTGTAACTAAGACCATCCTCTTATCATCTCAAACCTTTCATGGTATATTGAATGCATCAGACAGTGACCCAGACAGTGATATCACCAGAATAAAGGACTCCTGACCTAAAACACTCATTTTCGATCAGACATTTCCATTATTGGTGCTGTTAGACAAACTGAGGTATCTGACTGAGGTATATATATATTTTTAATGTCAAAGTCTGTTGATATTTCTTTAAAATGTACTTGGCATTGAATACTGTCAAATCCCACATGCTGCCTTGTCTAAGTGTTTACTGTGATCACATAACTCACAGTGCAATACAATACAACAGCAAATACACAATACAGTACCATTCAAAGCAATAACGAGCCATACTGATAGGAATTTAAACTGTATCATATGGAGTACAGCTTGAGAGCCAGTTTAGTCTGCTCGTGTTAACGTTGTGTTAACCTGCCAAGTCACTCCATCATAAGCAACTGATTTTTAGCATCTTTTAAGGCTGAAATTTTAAGAGATTGTTGGCTTTCAAGTTGAGTTTTTAATCAAGTGGGTTTTTCTTTAAAACTTGCCCTGAAAAGACTTTCAAACCCAACAGAATCTCTGGAAGGAGCCATGCCTCGACTCACCACTCCTGGCTGTGACAGCTGCCTTCACTTGACCCAGAAAATCTCAGAGCTTGAAGGAAGCATATCCATCTTATACTAGATTAGTAATGAAGAGCAGATCATTGACTCCCTTGTCACCCTGGGCCCGACTACTGTCACATCGACTGCTGCTGAGCTGGACTCCGCTGTTCCATATGTGGATAAAGCCACTACCCAGCCTGTCCACCACTGTATTCAGCTTGGAGCAAACTCCAAGCTAAAGGGGGCCATGGGAGGTAGTTTGCAAGGGACAGGGAGGCAGGAATGTTCCTGCTTGCCATAAACCATAACCAGTTTTCCTAAGGGGCGCTGGATCTTAGCACTGCCTTTGATACAGTAGACCACACTATACTTTTAACTCACCTAAAACACCTTGGCCTCTCAGGTGCTCTTCACTGATGGTTCATCTCCTAACTGACAGACAGAACGTGTAGGCCCTGTGCTTTTTAACCTGTACATGCTCCTTCTTGGCGGTGTCATCAGGAGACATGGAATCAACTTCCACAGCCATGCTGATGATACACAGCTCTACATCTCTGTGTTTCCTGATGACACCAGGCCAATGGATGCTCTTTTTAACTGCATTTTAGATATCAAATCCTGGATGGCAGAGAACTTTCTCCAGCTTAACCATTACAGAACTGAGGTTTTAGTCATCGGCCCTGGGGCCAAGAGAGAGAAACTTTTACCCAAACTACTAGCACTGTCTTTAATCCATCACCACAAGTGAGAAACCTGGGCATCATTTTTGACTCTGAGCTGACTTTTAGTCCACACATTAAGAACATAACAAAAACCTTCTAGGACCCTGGGCTCCTCTGGCAGCAAGCTCGTAGTCATTCCAAAAGTCAGGAAACACACTCATTGTGAGGCGCCTTTCCAGTATAACGGCCCTCGTCTATGGAACAGCCTGCCAGAGGACCTCAGGGCCGCAGAGAACGTTCATGTTTTTAAGAGCAGGCTCAAGACCCACCTTTTTAGCTTAGCTTTTAATTAAAATAGCTCAACTACTATACAAGGCCAAGAAAAATATGCTCCTGATGTCACAGTCCGCTCTGCTGCTCTGCTTCTCTCCTGCTCTGCCACACCCCTCATCAGCTCTACTGCTTCCACCTGCCACTGTCACCTGCTCAGAAGTAATCATTTCCACCTGTAGCCCCCAGCTGATCCTCATCACCCAGCAAGTATATAAGCCAGTTTACTCACTCATTGCCAGATTGTTGTCGCTCTCATGCCTGACTTTCCAGAAGTAATTCCCAGACTGCTTACCTGGTATCAACCTGACTTGCCTCTGACCGTCGCTTCACATTTCAGCCCCGAAAGATCCACCAGCCTTCAGTCCCCTACGACGAGTACTGCCTGCCTGTCTTCTGCTTCTTGTCTACCTGTGGTTGGTTGGCTCTCAGCCTGTTCCTGTTCTGTCAGAGACCCCCCTCGTCAGCTTCAGCTCGCCAGCTCACCTCCTCTGGAGCCGTCAGCCCTGTCTACTCCGTCTCCAGGTCCGGATCCACGCCCTGCCCTCATCTGAACTCATCTCATCTGATTGCCTGCCACTCGGAAGACCCGGGTCCCACCTGATCCCACCTGATCTGCTGCATTATTGACTGTCTTTCTACTTTACCTGGAAAATAAAGACTCTTTGAAACAAGAAAAAAAACTGTTTCATTTGTGCTGCAGCTGGGTTCACTCTATACCTGTTACAGTACAACCTGGCCAAATATGGACCCAGCGCACAAACCCACACCACTTAGCCGCCTTGAGGCAATCGAAGGTGTCCTGCAACAACATGAAGCCATGACGACTGCATCTGCTGCTGAAGCCAGGCAGGCTGCTGAGACTCAGGGACGGGCACTAGCAGCATTAGCTGGACAGATGGAACAGCTAACTGCCCAACTTTCCTAGTTCTCTGCAGCCGCTGGATTCGCCCCCTCTTCTGAAGCATTGGCTTCTGCTCCTGCACCAGTACCTGCCTCTCCTCTGCCCAGAGATGCTCCTGAGCCCCTGGGTGGGAACCCCAGATCGTTACGACTGTGATCAAGAGACTTGTGGCCCCTTCCTCACCAACTGCTCTCTTCTGTCTGCACTGCAGCCCCGGTCATCAACCACCTGACAGGCAGAGCTTGACTATGAATCAGCTGAGTGGGAAAGGCGGTCTTCTGCCTGTGCATCCTTTGACCTGTTTTCTGCCTAGCTTTGCAAGGTTTTTGGCTTCGAGAACTGCGGTTCTGAGTCTGCAAGGGGACTGATGGGAGTGAAACAAGGCAAGCAAACCATGGCAGACTACTCTACTGATTTCTGCACCAGAGCCAGCTAAAGCAGTTGGAACAGCTCAGCCCTCTGTGATGCCTTCCTCCATGGTTTAACTGACTACATTAAAGATGAACTGGTCTCCCATGACACCCCCGTCACTTTGGACGGGGTGATTGATCTAGCCATCCACATCGACCTTCATATCCAGACTCGTCGACGAGAGAAGCACCAGGGGGGAACTCAACATTCTCTCCCTCCTCGCTACCATGGGGGTGCTGTTGCAGTCAACTCCTCCTCTTTGGGCAAGCAGAATGGGGATCCTGAGCCCGCACTGAGAGGAGCACCACTGCAGGTCCAATCTCTGCCTCTATTGTGGAGCGGCAGGACATTGTATCTCCCACTGTCCAGCAAAAGCCAGAGCTCACCAGTAGTTGGGGAGACCCTGGTGAGCTCAACCGCCCTGTCAACTCCCCGAAGCCAGAGACCCCTGTTCCAAGGTCGCCTCCTCCTTCCGGATGGCCCTCAATCCATGGTTATCTTTATTGACTCCAGGGCCGATGCCTGTATCATTGATGAGGAGTTGGTCCTTCAGCTGGGGCTTGAGCAGGTTCCTTTGCCTCATCTGGTTCCTGCTAGAGCCTTAGATGGACATATCCTGGGCACCATCACACATCAGACCTCTCCTGTTCACCTGCTGCTTTTTGGTAATCTTCACGAAACAGTCCAGTTTCACATCCTGAGCTCTTCCTGCCTGCCACTAATCCTAGGGTATTCATGGCTCTGCCTTCACAACCCTCACATAGACTGGTCCACTGGGGCTGTTCTGGAGTGGAGCCCCTCCTGTCATCAGAGGTGCCTGCAGCAAGCCTCAGCTCCACTTCCCCCCTCCAGCTCCAACTCCAGCTTTTCACCTGACCTCACTGGAGTACCACCTGTGTGCCATGATTTCCGCCAGGTCTTCAGCAAAACCAGAGCCTCTTCTCTGCACCCACACTGCCCCTATGACTGTGCCCTAGACCTCCTGCTTGGTATGTCACCTCCTAAGGGGCGCCTGTACTCTCTGTCTGAGCCAGAGAGAAAAAAGCCATGGAGACTTACATTAATGACTTCCTGGCTGCGGGCATCATCCGTCCCTCATCATCTCCTGCTGGAACAGGGTTTTTCTTCGTGGAGAAGAAGACAAGACATTGAGACCCTGCATTGACTACGGAGGACATAATGACATCACTATAAAGAACCGTTACCCACTGCCACTCATCTCCACTGCCTTTGAACTGCTCCAAGGGGCCACCATTTCCTCTAAACTAGACGTGCGTAATGTCTACCACCTTGTTCGCATCAGAGAAGGAGATCCGCATTCGCAACTACAGCCCCTATGGCAGCCCCTCTCACCATTCTGACCTCCTGAAAAGTGGAGGTCGAGAGCCTTTAGTGACTGTGACAGTGTGACTCCTCCTCCTGACTGGTGAGCGTGCGCATTGCATCATTCCCTTCCCTGCTGTAGAACTGTGTGTGTAGCGTTTTGCTCCTCCTGATAGCGTTCTTGCTGTTTGGGTTATTTTCTCTCTTTAATCTATCAATACATCTATTTGTTTAAAAGTCTGTGAGTATATCTGATAGTTCTCACCATGCACCGTCTTTATCTCCATTCCGGGTGATCTCTGTGGTGGTTTACTTTATTAGCTCTTAGCTTCTCTTAGCTTCACTCGCTAACGATGGCTTCCCCCGGTCTCCTGCTTCTCCTGCCTGCTTCTGCTCAGTGTGTCAGATGTTTAGTTACTCCTCATCCTCCTTAGATGATAACGATACCTGCTTTAAGTGTAGTTTATTCTTAGCGCCGATGCTAGAGTAGCAGTAGCTAGCCAAGACCCGGTAGCTGGTACGGGTCGTCGTAGCATAGCTTCCCCCCCAGCAGATCCCGGGAGCAGCCGGGATGTAGTAGTGGTTGGGTTACTGTGAAAGGGAAGCATAGCGGCAGGCCTAAGAAGCCCATGTTAAACCACCATATTCACATTTTAAACAAATTTGCCCCTCTCAGCAACACACCTGCTGAGCCCGACACTCTTGTGATTGGAGACTCTGTAGTTAAAAATGTGAAATTAGCAAAGTCAGCAGCCATAGTTCAGTGTCTTCCGGGGGCCAGAGCCGGAGACATCGAAGGTAGTTTAAAACTGCTGGCAAAGGCTAAACGTAAATTCCGTAAGATTGTAATATATGTCGGCGTTAATGACTCCCGGCACCGCCAGTTGTAAGTCACTAAATTGAACGTGGAATCAGTGTGTGAATACGTCAAAACCATGTCGGACTCCGTAGTTTTCTCTGGTCCCCTCCCTGCCTGATCGTCGTATCTCATCATGTCGAGGTGGTGTCCGCAAAACGGTGTGGGCTTCATTGATAATTGAAAGTCGTCTCGGGGCAAGCCTGGTCTGATTAGACGGGACGGCATTCATCCCACTTGAGATGGAGCGGCCCGTTTATCCAGAAATCTGGCTGATTTATTTAGTCTGAACCACTGACAATTCAGAGCAGAGATCAGGAAGCAGGGCCGCAGTCCTACATGCTCCTCTGCTTCTCCCTTAGAGCAGCTTCTCAAGCACTATCATTTTTATACAGAGACTAGGGAGCAGAGCCGCAGTGTAAAACGCTCTTTTGCATTCCCTTCAGAGCAGCTTCCCAGCTACAATCAGTTTGATATAGAGATCAGGGAGCAGAGCCGCATTCCTACACTCCTCTGTACTCCCTTCAGAGCAGCTTCCTAGCTACAATCAGTTTGATATAGAGATCAGGGAGCATAGCCGCAGTCATACACGTTCCTCTGCACTTTTGTTAGAGCAGCCTCCTAGCTCCTATCACTTTAATATAGAGACTGTGTCTGTCCCTCTTCCTCGGCTCTTTAATTCTAACCACCGTTTAACAAAGGAGTAAAAAACAAGGACCTTACTAGAATTAAAACTGCTAACATAGTTGAACCAAGTAGTAGTAAGATAAAATGTGGTCTACTGAACATAAGGTCTCTAAGTTCCAAATCTGTGTTATTAAATGAACTAATCTCTGATCATCGCCTTGATTTACTCTCCCTAACCGAAACTTGGCTGCGTCAGGATGAATATGTCAGTTTAAATGAATCCACTCCTCCTAGCCACCTGAGCTTTCACATTCCTCTGGACTCTGGCCGAGGTGGTGGAGTTGCAGCTATTTACAATTCCAGTCTTCGAATCAACCCAAGACCAAAACTGGATTGTAACTCTTTTGAAAGTCTTGTTCTCAGTCTTCCGCATCCAGCCTCAAAGACCACTGGTATTTGCTATATTTTATCGTCCCCTGAGCCCATACTGAGTTTTTGTCAGAATTCTCAGAGTTTCTATCTGATCTAGTCTTTTGTGCAGACAAAGTCATTGTCGTTGGTGACTTTAATATTCATGTGGATGTGGAAAATGATAGCCTGGCTTATGGCCTTGAAGCTGAAGCCTTGTCAGCCAGCTCATTAAATCCTCTTTTATCGGATCACTTTCTAGTAACTTTTGAATTTGTGCTTTCAGGCTATTCTTCTCACAGCAAAACCGTGCTAACTAGAAGGTTGTCTGAAAATGCTGTGATTAAGGCAATGTACCATTGCCATTGTGACTGAGGCAATTCTGTCTGCTCTTGATTCTGTGCTTGAGAAGAACTTAATTGATAGCTCATACTTGAACATCAGTCCCTTGCAACTTGATCAGTTCGTTGATGATACCTCAGGCACATTGCGATCAATTCTTGACTCAGTTGCTCCTGTTCGACAGAAAACTCTTACACGCGAGAGGCTGGCCCAGTGGTATAATGCTGAAACCCGTGAGCTGAAACAGTTATTAAGAAAACGAGTTATTAAGAAAACGAGAAAGGATTTGGCGCTCTTCCAAAACAGCTGAAGCTCGTTTTCTCTGGCAGGAATGTCTTGACAAATATAAGAAGGCCTTGCGACGTGCTCGGACAACTTACTACTCGTCTCTTATTGAAGCAAATAAGAATAACCCCAGGTATCTCTTCAGCACTGTAGCCAGGCTGATGGACTGTCAGAGCACTGTTGGACCATGTATCCCATTGGCCCTCAGCAGCAACAATTTTTTGAGCTTCTTTAAAGAAAAAGTCTTAAAAATAAGAGGCAAAATTAGTAACCTCCTGCCTTCATCAGGTGTTTCTCTCTTAGATAACCCTAAAATTGTTGAGGAGCCCCTAAGGCCTCTGGTGCATCTATTGACCTCTCTGAGTTAAATTCAGTGGTGTTGGCAGCCAAACCATCAACGTGTCTTTTAGACCCAATTCCATCTAAACTGCTGAAGGAAACTCTTCCTTTGATTAGTACATCCTTGCTTAACTTGATCATTATGTCTTCATTAACAGGATATGTTCCCCAGTCTTTTAAGACTGCGTTGATTAAACCTCTCCTTAAAAAACCTCCTCTTGACTCAGGCCCCCTAGCTTACTATAGACCAATATCCAACCCTAAAGTCCTAGAGAAAGTTGTTGTGATACAACTTTGTGATTTTCCTTATAACAACAGTTTATTGGAGGATTTCCAGTCTGGATTTAGAACCCATCACAGCACAGAGACTGCTCTGCTGAAGGTGACAAACGACCTACTCATGGCTCCTCTCTGTTCTTGTCCTGTTGGATCTCAGTGCTGCGTTTGACACAATCGACCATCGCATCCTGCTTCAGAGACTGGAACAATCAATCAGCATAGCAGGATCCGCCCTTTCCTGGTTTAAATCTTATCTAACGGATAGATCCCAGTTTGCCCATGTTAATAATGAATCCTCTGCGCACACCAAGGTCTGCTACAGAGTCCCGCAAGGGTCGGTGCTTGAACCAATCCTCTTTAACTTGTACATGCTTCCTCTGGGTAAAATTATACGGAAGTACTCAATTAATTTCCACTGCTATGCAGATGACACCCAGTTATACATGAAGCCAGAATAAACAAATCAGGTTACCAAGTTAGAAGCTTGTCTCAAAGATATAAAATCCTGGATGACCAATAACTTTCTGATGCTCAACTCAGACAAAACTGAAGTTCTTGACCTCGGTCCTAAACACCTTAGAGAGGCATTCTCTAAAAACATAGCTACGCTAGATGGCATCAGTCTGGCACCCAGCCCCACTGTGCGAAATCTGGGAGTTTTATTTGATCAGGATTTGTCCTTTAGCTCCCACATTCAACAAATCTCTAGGGTAGATTTTTTCCACAGTGATGCAGAAAATCTAGTTCATGCTTTTGTTACCTCTAGGTTGGATTACTGTAATTCTCTCTTATCAGGCTGCTCTAATAAGTTTTTAAGGACTCTTCAGCTGGTCCAAAATTCAGCAGCTCGGGTATTGACTAGAACCAGAGGAAGGGAGCACATCTGTCCTGTCTTAGCCTCTCTTCATTGGCTCCCTATTAAATCTAGAATTGAGTTTAAAATCCTCCTTATGACATATAAAGCGCTTAATGGCGAGGCTCCATCATATCTCGACGAGCTTGTAATATCTTACTTTCCGTCTAGACTGTTACGCTCACAGTCTGCAGGTCTGCTCGTTGTACCAAATGTAGTATTGGAGGAAGAGCTTTCAGCTATCAGGCACCTCTCCTCTGGAATCATTTACCGCTCGAGGTTCGGGGGGCAGACACCCTCTCAACTTTCAAGAGTAGACTTAAAACGTTCGTCTTTGATAAAGCTTATAGTTGGGGCTGACTTGAACCAGCTTATAGTTATGCTGCTATAGGTCTGGACTGCCGGGGTTATCTGGCACACTGAGCTAGAGTCTGTCTCTATCTCTCCTTTAGATCTTTATGTCCCATATAAGTCACTAACCAGATTTCTCTCTCTCTGAGTGTCTCTGAGTCTTTTAGCTTCCCCTGGACTAATGCTGCAGACAGTCTGCTGCGGAACTGCCTGACCCCAGCTGCATCGTCTTTGACGATGGCCCTGAGCTCCTCCATCTCTTAGGCTCCTCTGGACCGTTGCTGTAGTCACGTATGTCAGCTTAACTGACATCTATAAAAAAAAACTAGAGTACACTGCCATTGAGTTTAACTTTAATCGCCTTAAATTAATTTAACATAGTCCATAATTAGTTACTTCATTATCCTGTACATTGAAGTCATTTTCTCCCATCAAATTGCTAACCAGAGCTCTCTGTATGTCTCTGAGCCCCCAGTCTCCTAGGTTGCTCTGGACTGATGGCTACAGACGGTTGGCTGCTGCAGACCTGCCTGACTCCAGCCGCATCGTCTATGCTTGTCCGCTTCAGGCCCTGAGCGCCTTCTTCTCTTGGGTTCCTCTGGACTGCAGACATGAACATCAGCTTCACTGATATTAATAACAAAACTAGAGTTAACTACTATTAGGCCTGCTGACTGTAATCACATTAAATTAATTTAACACAGTCCATAATAACTCATATCCTAACCCGGTAAACTGAATTTATTTTGTTTTACGATTACATGAGCTGTTGGTGTTGTTGCTGTTGTTTTAATGTTGCTGCTGTTCCCTGTCTCTCTCTCTCACCCTCATTCTCTACTCTCTCTCCCTCCCCCTCCCACTCCCTTACTCATTCTCTCTATCCTTCCCCTATCTTGTTCTCTCCCTCTCCCCCTGCCCTCTTCTCTCTCTCTCTCTCCCTCTATCTCTCTGTATTCCTCCTTAACCCAGCAGCGGCATGGTGGCTGTCTGGCATGAGTCAGGTCCTGCTCAAGGTTTCTGCCTGTTAAAAGGAAGTTTTTTCTTGCCACTGTTACTCATGTTAGATGAGATGGGCCAAAACCCATCTTAGGTTGGGTCTTGTTAATTCATCAAACAATGAGCATGGTCTAGACTTGCTCAAGTTCTTTGAAAAGTGTCTTGGGATGCCAACTGTTGTGAATTGGCACTATATGAATAAAATGTGATTGATTGATTGATTGATTGATTGATTGAAAAGTGCCCTTCCAGTGGTCACCTCACGCTGCAGCAGACTTCCAGACACTCAAAGATCGGTTCACATCATCGCCTTTCCTCCAGGTACCGGACTCAGAGTGCCAGCTTGTGGTCGAGGTGTATGCCTCTGATGTTGGGTTAGGGGCTGTCTTGTCTCAGCGCTCTGGCACCGACCACAAACTCCATCCCTTTGCCTTTTTTTCTCAACGCTTGTCCTCTGCAGAGAGTAATTATGACATTGGTAACAGAGAACTGTTGGCAGTTAAGATGGCCCTAGAAGAGTGGTGCCATTGGCTGAAGGGCACCAAGGAACCTTTTCTTGTGTGGACTGATCACAAGAATTTGGAGTATATACGCTCAGCTAAAAGACTGAACTCTCGCCAGGCCCGCTCGTTTCAACTTCACCCTCACCTACCGTCCGGGGTCCCGTAATGCTAAGCCCGACACCCTTTCCCGCCAGTTTCAGAGGACAGAGGATTCTGTTGAAAGACCCGAGCCTATCCTCCCCACATCCTGCCTTGTTGCTGCATTGACCTGGGACATAGAGGAGAGGGTGAGAGCAGCTGCTGAAGGGCAGCCAGGTCCCAGCTCCTGCCCGTCAAACTGCCTTTTCGCCCCTCCAGCCTTGAGGTCAGATGTGCTACAATGGGCCCACTCCTTCAAGCTCTCCTGCCACCCTGGTGTTCAAGGGACACGGCATGCCCTCCTCCAACATTTCTGGTGGCCCACCTTGCAGAAGGACATCCAAGAATTCATCAAAGCCTGTCCAACTTGCAGTCAACACAAGACCTTCTGCCAGCCCCTGGCTGGGCTGCTTCAACCTCTTCCTGTTACTCACCGTCCATGGTCGCACATATACTTGGATTTTGGATCTGTCACTGTCGCAGAATTTGGCTCCAAGCTCGCCCCACCCTCCTTCAGTTTGTGGGTCGCTACACTGCCACTGCCAACCATCACTGCGCAACTGCACCTACCTACCAAGCAGGTCAGCAAGTGTGGCTCTCCACCTGGGACACCTGGGAGTCCCAAAAGATGGCTCCTTGGTTCATCGGGCCTTTCACTATCCAGAAGGTCATCAATCCAGTGGCAGTCCGGTTAAAGCTCCCATGTTTCATGAGAGTTCACCCAACATTCCATATCTCCAAGATCAAGCCAGTCCACAACAGTCCCTTGGTTCCTGCAGCACCTCCCCCTCCACAAATGGTCAATGGCAGTCCAGTGAATACAGTTTGTTGCCTGATTGGCTCACGTAGGCAGGGTAGAGGTCTCCATTACCTTGTCGACTGGGAGGGTTACAGTCCTGAAGAGAGGTCCTGGGTTCCTGCTCGCCATATTGTGGGGGAGGGGGGGTTCTGTAACAGTCCACTCTGCTTCTCTCCTGGGGCCTTATGTATCAACACTTGCATGGGACTCATACCAGAAACGTGCGCACGCAAGGTCCATAGGGCTGCAACGATTAGTCGACGTAATCGATTACGTCGACAACAAAAATTCATCGACACGAAAACTTAAGCGTCGACGCGTCGTGTTATTGTTGTTGAAATTCACATGCCGGCGCCTCATGCTCATCTATAACTGCAGTGCACTCCAGGATGTGCTGGGGGCAGTAGTGCTCGCTGTTTACATCCCGCAAGCAAACCTATGACGAAAACACAGAAGAGGAATGCACACAGTATGGCAGGAAGAACCGAAGACGACGCCCAAAAACTTTGTCCCAAAACTTCCAGAGTTTGGGAACATTTTAACGAGAACAAGCCAAAAAAGCAGGTTAAGTGCATGCTATGCAAAGCCCAGCTTTCGTACCATGGCAGCACGACGGCGATGCATGAGCATCTGAAACGCCGACACCCCGGAGCCGTAACATGTACCGCAGAAAGGTGAGTTCACAAATAACTGTGATACTTCGTAGATATTTTAAAACGACATGCTAATTTGTTAATTAATCACCAGCCTATGATGCAAATACAACGTGTGTGTCGGAGATCAGTCAGTCGGGAAATCATGGGAGAAGCTTGTTAAGCAAGCGCTATTCACTTACGTTAATGCATATTTTACGGCAGTAATCAATGAATTACAGGCGTTAGGCCTACTAGCTTTTATACTGAATTGTAAACCTTGTGCGCTTATCAACTGTGTGATTTGGAGCATATTAGTTCAATATTTAAGACTAAGATATTTCACAACTAAGAAATCTGTGATTTGTTTCAGGTATTTAATTTTGAAAAATTTAAATTTGAATTGTGAAGTAATATAACTCGTTTTATTCTCTTTGATTTAGTAGTGTTAAGCAGAGGCGTGTGGATGAGTTTGTCATGAGAAGAGGTTCATGCACCCCCCAAATGGCTGAAGTCCTGACACAGAGCATCCTTAACATGATTGTAACCGACATGAGACCAATAGCCATGGTTGAAGATGATGGCTTCAAGCAGATGATCCAGACCTTTCATCCAGGCTACACCTTGCCATCCAGAACTCATTTTACCAAACTGATTGAAGAAAAGTATGAGACTGCTGTCAGTGACATAAAGGCAACTCTTAAATTAAACAAGAACAAGATTGCCCTCACAGCTGATGCCTGGACAAGCATTTCCACAGAGGCATATCTTGGCATCACATGTCACTTCATAAGTGATGACTGGGAGCTCACAAGCCTCTGTCTCACAACCATGCCACTAGAAGAACGACATACTGGATCAAACATTGCTGCATGGATTGAGGAGGCCATGGCAAGGTTTGAGATCTCTGCAAGCAATATTGTGGCTGTTGTCCATGACAATGGCTCCAACATTGTCCTGGCTGCAAACATTCTGCAAGAAAAACATGGGTGGATGTCAATCCGCTGCGCTGGTCACACTTTGCAATTAGTGATCAATCGTGCTCTAAAACACCCTCAGATCATAAAAACACTGGGAGCAGCAAGATGTCTTGTGGAGCACTTCAGAAAAAGTGAACTGGCTTCAAGCAAGCTGAAGACCAAACAGAAACAGATGGGGACCCCAGAACATAAACTTATCCAAGATGTCTCTACCAGGTGGAACAGCACCTTTTATATGGTCATCCGTTTGCTGGAACAGAGATGGCAACTGACTGCAACACTGTCTGACCCAACAGTCACGCAGAGTGATAAACAGTACCTTGACCTGAAAGCAGATCAGTGGCTCCTGCTAGAGGAACTGGCTAAAGCTCTTAAAGCCTTTGAATGCGCCACAGTCTACTTGAGTAGTTAAAGTTATGTGACAGTTTCTGCTCTCCCTCCTCTGGTCAGAGGGCTTTTGAAGTCCACTCACACCACCTATGATGCAGCTCCTGTGCAGGCCTTTCAGGCAGTTGCTTCAGAGGAGACCACTGTACGCTGGACTAATGAGGTCGCAGTCACACGTGAACCATGCACACAGGTCATCGCAGCAGCCTTAGATCCACGATTTAGGAAACTGAAATTTCTGACCCCAGAGGAGAGGTTCACTGTTCAAAAAAAAGTCCAAGCTCTGGCCCTGCAATCCATCCAAGGGGCTGAGAAGAAAAATGCCAGTGAGGCTGACAAAAGCCTTGCCTCAGCTGAGAGAACTTTTTCAGCTCTAGATTCACTGCTGGCCTGTGACTCCTCAACAGACAGTGACACTGAGACCAATGAACAGGATGCTCACAACCAGTCTATCACCAATGAGGTAAGATTTATTTAATTGAATAATAGTACTTTTTAATTGGCAAGATGATATTTCACAAATCTTCATTATGCTTATATTCATTTGTTGTCCCATGGCAGATACTGATGTACTTCGGACAGCAGCCTCTTTTAAAGACTGAGAGTCCGCTTTCTTGGTGGATGTCAAATGAGGCAAAGTATCCAACCCTTGCATCTGTAGCGATTTGAAATGAGCCTCACACGGCCGCACCAAAATACTACTGTAGCAATTGGAATTTATAATAAATGTCTGAAGATTAATAATCTCAAATTATGACATTTACGCACTCGTTGAAAGGGGCACCACCCACCTTTAATGGTGGGAAAATAAAGAAAACAAAAGTTTAATTCAGAAATCAAACATCAAGTCAGTTTTAATTAATCAGTCTCATATCTTAAGTCGAAATTCTAATTTCAGGGACTCCACTTCTGGAAGAACACTAACAGACAGGAACTTAGAAAAATAATGATCTGTTTATTACAGGATAAATGATGGTACAACATACATGCAATAAATGATGATAAGATAATGAAGATAAATAATAATAGGTGAATAAATAAAGATTCTGAGTCAGGCTAGGAGCACTAAAGTTAATGATAGTGAGTGAATATGTGCTAACATATTAACCTACACTAACTTTGGTGTCGAGATAAACTCGGATGTGGATTTGGAGGAATCTAAGATTACCAGAATAAGAGGATATCTGAGCTATGAACGCATGAGACAGCACCAGCCCTGTTGGAGCTCTGGAGGTTTGCATACTTAAGTGAGACTGGTCCTTGGAGAAGGTGGAGCAGGTTCCGAAGGTCCGGGGCTACTGGCGGTTCGAGCGGTTCAGCTCAGAAGACGACTGAAGTCAGCCGAAGGATGAGCCAGGAGTTGCAGCACTCGGGCCCGAAGCAAAGCCAGCGCCTGTGGATCCTGTGGATGCTCGTTTGGGTACTTCTTTGGTCTCACTCAAAAACTCTGGCACAGAGGATGACCTGGGCCTGCTGGGTTGCGTTCAGAGGTGACTTTGAAAATCACGCAGATAACTCAGAAAAACGAGACTCGAGCAGAGAAACTTTCAAAAATGGCTTCGCGAATTTAAAGAAAAATCAATCAAAGGCTTAATCTTGAATTGCTATGTGCACAAAAAGTTGAAGTTTCAAAACTTGAACTAAGACGATGTTAAAGAAAAATCAACGTGAATCAACACGTGGCGTAAAACTTAGAAGACTAAGAAAAAGTTCTAAGAGAAAATAAAGAAAAAGAGGACCACAGAAGGGTGTGGACCGAAGAGAAGGGGCATAAGAGCCGGGGACAAGAGTAGAAGGGATAAGAGTGAACAAGAGACTGAAGCATAAGAGAGTGAGCAACCCCACTTCACTGGTTTTATCCTCTCACACTGGGAGTGTTTCCGGGGTGTGTGTGTGAGGAGAAAGGAGGGGTCGTGGAATCTCTGATTATTTGATCTAACTTATTCTTTTGGCTGGTAAAAGAGTCAGATCTGATACTCACTCACTATGATTAATATCATTGAATGCTAGGTTTCATGATAAATAATTTGATACTAAACACATATGAATGAAGTGTAGGATCACATCAAACATTCTCATTATGTTTTAAGTATCACATTGAACATGCTAAATTACTCTGAAATGAAACAGATAGTAACACATGGAAACTGTGAACAACAAAAGAGTAAACACATGTGAATGAACTTCATCGTGATTAATAATGGATTCTAAATACTCACATTCAGGTTATTCAATGACATTATAACCACTTAATGGTTAAAAATACTAACTAAACAACTACAATATAAACCAAACATTTCTAAGCTATTTCTGTTACCTAGAGTTAAGTTATGATTCATAGTCAATAAATTTAACTCTTAAAAGTTCATGAAACAGTCTGAAAAGCTGTTGGTCTAAAGAAACTAAAGAGCGATAACTCGGCTTCTGAAGCACATAGAAAAATGGGAAACATCTCATTTTAACACAAATTTCATGATTAGACAGATTAGTACATTGCTGAATGCAAAAGATGTCAGGATCAGTCATTTGTATTCTTTCACCAAAGGAATGTAGTCTTTATCAGTGTATGGTCGAGCAGGGTTTTACGACCGAGGTCTGGAGGTCAGTGTCCCCCCTTTTCCTGGGGTCCGTATGTTCACACACTTTAAGATGGTAAATCTCAAATGGGAGATCTGGGTTGAGGTTAATGTTTATTTAGATGGTCAGTAATGGAGTTAGTTTGAAAGGTAATAAAAACTCTGTCTCTGTTCTCCGAATCGACCAATCGTGAAGAGTCAGAGGTTTAGTCAACCTCCGGTTGGGTCACTTATTTAACCTGAAAGTGTAAACGAGTCTGGAAAGATTTATATCCTGAGGAATGTGTGGGTTTCACACCCAGGGTTGTCTTGATTGCTACACATCACTAGCCAAGTCTTTCTTGTGCATTCCAGCTACCTCTACACCATCTGAGCGTCTCTTCTCTGCAGCTGGAAATATCGCCTCAAAGAAGAGAGCCAGCCTCACACCTAAGCATGTTGACATGCTTACGTTCCTGCACTGCAATTTGAATAAAAAAAAATAGATATTTCCCTCAGTTATGTTGGCTTTAAGCTTTGTTGACAGTTGGGACTTTACAAGAAAAAAAAAAACAAATGTCAAAATTTATCTTTTGTTTTATTTATGTATTTTACTTTTATGGGCTTATTTGCTTTAAGTAAAAGCAACTCCTTGGTTGGTTTAAACCTAATTACCTCCTCAACCTGCAAGGGAGGCTACCTGCACCTTTTTTTGATACTTCTTGATAAAGAGTTTTTGTTTACTACCTTGCACTTTAAGTTTGTACAATTTAATTATTTTTGTTGTGGTCAAAGTGGTATTTTACATTGAAAAATAAATAAACTATATTGCAGGTAAATGTTTTATGTCATTATTTTTTATATATTTGTTGAAATACATGCTATCAGAGTACAACAGGATTTTAGGTTTAAGTAAGTTACGTTAAACAGAAGTCTAAAATAGGTGTTTATAAATAAAGAAGATAGTTGTGATTATCGAAAAAATAATCGATAGATTAGTCGACAACAAAAATAATCATTAGTTGCAGCACTAAAGGTCCGTCACGCTGAAAAAAATCCGTATGTATCAAGGTGTGCGGGCGCCGAAATCCACGTGTTTCCTTGATAAATCCGAACCAGCGTGGAATTGAGCGCAGATGTCAGAGTGACTGGGCCCGCCCCCGTTACGCCCTCATATAAATATGCAGATTTATTTAAATAGGGTCTCCCTGTCCTCGCACGCAGACAAAATGACAAGAAAAACTAAATTTACGGCGTGCGAGGTGGAGGTGCTGGTGGCGGAGGTGGAGGAGCGACAGCGTATTTTGTTTGGCAGCCTGTCCAGTGGCATCAGTGCAAAACGAAAATGCTTGGAGTGTGAGAAAGTTTGCGAGAGGGTGAACGCGGTGGGTTCCAAGACACGCACCCCCGCGGAGATTAAAAAAAAGTGGTCGGACCTCAAGGTGGAGGTCAAGCGGTGTACAGCTGCCCTCCAGAGGAGTACCGGCCAGACAGGTGGGGGTCCGGGGAAGGAGACCTTCACGCCGTTTGAGCAGCGGGTGGTGGCGATTATTATTATAGGGTAAGTGGCGTGTCACATAAATGTCCACATGCTTTGCCATCCCACTGAGCAAAAGACGTATATTAGACGTCTAGTCTAAGTTTATACTTCATTTAAACGTCGGGATACAGTCTATTTTTAGACGTGATTTATACTTCGCCCTTATCTTCATTTTTCGATAACTTTTTATGCAATAAACAACTGAAATGTGCATAACTGACCTCTAAATACTGGATTACATTACCTATGATACCGTGGAGAGAGATGTAAACGCAACAGATACACAGAAGCAGGAATTGAAATGAACAAATATTTTTATTGTGTCACAGAAATCAATGTGTCGGCCGTGTCGCCGGCTTGCGGAACCCCGGCCCGTGGCAGCCCGTCCGCCGGCTCGGAGTCGTCGGCCAGGACCAGCGGCATTCGGGCCATCCCGGCCCCCGGCCCCAGCACCAGCACCAGCACCAGCGCGCCGACAAGCGGTGGAGCATCCACCCGCCGCAGGGCTTCCGCTGGACCACCCGGACGCAGTGGAAGGGTCCTCACGGAGGCAGTCCTGCAATCGCAGGAAGAAATCATCAGGGGGATCGCGGGGATCAACGAGCGGCTGGACCGGCTCATAAATGTCCTCGAGCGTCTGGTGGCAAAAATAAATTAATTTGGTTCATTGAACTGTGTGTTCACTTCTTACCCATTCACACTGTGGCGATGAGATTCTCCCGCGCGAGGACGGCGGCCCAGCAGGGATCAGCTCGCATCCCTCCGTCTGCTGCTGGTTCGTCATGTGGGGCGACGTGCTGCTCGGCCACGGGGATGTGGTGCACGCTTGTCACATAGTGAGTCACCAAACACCGCCACACAGTGTCGCCAAAGTGCCGTCATCGCAAGTATCAGCTCAACGCCAACTTCTACACCACCTCCTCACTTTGCGTTGATTAGCGCTGGAACCAACGCTCGTTT